GAAATCTGAGGGGAGAGGCATTTATGTGTTTTAGAGACAAGTGGGTTTCAGTGTTTATGTATTTTTGAGACTCAGCATAGAAGAAAAATCTGACTACAGCACGATGAGGCATTAAGTGTGAATTTAAACATTGACATTAATGTGTGCTCACAGTATATGGCTCATGTTATCCCCCTTCTTTTCATTCACATCCTTAACCTCCTTCTGTGTGAACATTGTGTTTTTCTTTGTTTATCATGAATTTGCCACTCACATATTGAATATTTGATATTTCTACATATGTTTATCAACAGTTCACACCAGTAAACCCACTAGTTGTTTGTATAACTACATGTTACATTTGTCTTTTCCAGTGAGCTGGTGTCCTCGCTGAGCAGTGATGCTGGTGTCGTTGCATCGGGTTCAGCACAAAGCCTGTCGGTCAGGGCCTGGTTCAGGTGTGTTCTACAGCAGCACCTGCACAAGAACCCAGATGGGTCTGACAGCAGAACAGGTAATACCACTGAATATTATCCTAAAATGTGAAACGGTAAATATTTTAGCTGTATTTGTACATTTTATGGCTATACCTCTAAACCAAACTAGAGCATTTGTACCTTGATGATTTTTTGAGCTATAAAAACACTGACAAACCTAGAGAGAATGACATTTTAGGTGGTAAACACAACAATCCAGTGTGTAGTCACCCCTCTATTCCAGGACCCAAACTAAGTTAAAGTCACAGTATAATCAATATCTGGCATCGCCCCTTTTTATTCAAAGTGTTTTGTACACATGGTTGTTCTCTATGTGCAAATCCTTAACATGCATGACCACAACTCTGATCTGAGTTAAACCTATTCTTCAAATTTTCAAAATTTCTATGCTTGTATAGTAAATGCTTAGTTTTACCTATTAAGTGATATAAAACACATCATTATTTGAGTAGACAGTGCTTGTGCCTGCGTTCCTCCAGGTCGTGCTGTGGAGGAGCAGTTGTGTGAACTGACCCGGCTTGTGCTGAGGCTTCCTGAAGTGGACAGTCTTCTGCAGAGAGCTGGCCTCCAGCCCACAGCCAGCAGGCTCGAGTCCACTTCAGCCCTGGAGATGTTTATCAAGGTAACACATGCTCACAGCTGACATATATATTGTGCGCTTTTAAATTTTACACTAAGCAATGGATTTACAGGGACAAGAAATACTCGGGCTGTGGGAGACATTTCCAGCTACACCTTAGCTGACAGCAGGCCTTTATGTCCCTGGGATGTACTATGTGCCATTTGTGTATATAAGACATAATGGACTCAGCATATCTAAGTAAAATTCATCCCTGTGCCTTTACATAAGTGTGCACTATATGTGACGTATGCTTAACATATCATGTCATATCTGGTCTCTGCTGCAGCAACCTGCATATACATGCAAATGTTACCATGAATTTCTCTTCTTATCTGCTTTCCCGTGGTGTCAGGCTGTTGGCTGTGTGTACAGTGGACTGCAGGTTTTGTCAGAGCGTTCAGTCATGGTGACAAGAGCCCTGGACTATATTGGAGACATCCTGAAACACATTAAACCCTCTCTGGTCAGCAAGAACCAGGAGGGAGTGCAGCTGGCCTACTGGGCCGTTGGTAAGTGTAAAGCCCATAAACCTCAAACACAATTTACAATACACAATACACTCTTCTGGAGCTCTTTGTTTTTACAATGTATTCTATGTCACAGACTGTAAAGAATTATTACACTTGTGTGTGTCTCTCTATGGTTGTCTCTTGTTCTGTGTGATCCAGGCTGCATAGTGAAGCACTGGAGCCCCCTGCTGGCCACATCCAAAGCCCAGCAGCTGCTGTTCCGTATCGTGGATGGGCTGCTGCTTCCCCACCACCTCACACAGCAGGATAAAGCTCTCAGGGACAGCCTGCCACTGTATCTGCAGGTTAGACATATACTGTACACCAACCCTCATCAAAACCCTTTCATCACTCATCTGTCTGTAATTTGTTTGGATGTTTCTCTTCTGACACTTTAATTTGTTCACCTGCAGGGTTTGTCAGTGGCTTCCAGCGTGTCTCAGTCTCAGGGTGCCCACCTGAAGCAGCAGCTCCGCTCTGTTACCCGCAGATATCTGGACCATTTCCTTCCCACCTCACCTTCTATGGGCGTCATCGCCAACCACCCAGTGCTTCTGGGTGCCTGCGAGGCCAACTCAAGCACCCAGGGGGTAGCGCTCAGGAGGACCATCCTGGAGGTGCTTTGGTATGTCTCTAGAACTGGAGTGTGGTTTGCCTCATTTCACCCACAGCCACATGGATTTCACATCCAGATTGTATTTTAATATGACTTCTGTCCAGCAAATCAATGTAGTGACTGAAATCAGCCAACCAGGATGTATGTAAATCAATTTCATCAATCAATCATCAATCATCAATCTATTATTTATTTACTTGCTGCAATTTTAATCTTATAAAAGTTATTAGAAAAGCCCCTCTCTGATTTTACAGCGAGAGCTTCCTACAGTTCAAAGGTTATGCCCCTCCACCTCGCCTGGCGTCAGTCCTGATGTTCCTGTTGGAGCTTCTGAGACGAAACAGTGACTCTGACCCCGCCCTCCTCACTTTGCCCCTCCCCTCTCTGCTGCGCTGTGTGATGCTGGTCAACGAACCACAAGGTGACGGATGTTATGCATACAGACACACAACAATCTGAAAATTTTAAAAGTGTAGTTTTCCTGTCTTGTGTGTGAGTTCTCTCTAATTTTTGATATAGAAGGCATCCTGTGGGAGTCATTGTTTACCAGTGAAAGAAACAAATTAATGCTTTGGAAAAGTTTAACTAACTTTGGATTATCTGCATAACCACAGTTACTAGAGCAACCTCTTTCTTCACTCATGTGCAGCAAGAAAGATGTACCATGGTGCCACCCCAGTTTTTAGAGGGAGGATCTACATGCCCTGATACTCAAATCAATAGTTCCAACCAATCCTGACAGGCATAATGTTGTAATGAAGGGCCATGTTTTTGTTTTTTTCTCAAAGTTCTTTTGCACTTTTTCAAACTTTCCTTCAATATTAACTCAATAAATCATACTACTTATGATTGAGATGGTTTCAAACATTAACATGAATACTTACAGTTTTCATCAGTGCTCACTGACACAAGTTATACAGAAAGAAATGTGATAATTGAGTTTGTGTTAATAATAATGACTAAGGGGCTGTGTAATGATAATGTATTTGTTTTCTGTGCAGTAAGGAAGACGAGCACAGATGCTTTACAGCTTGTGGTGGAGCGATGTGCTGCTGCATCTACAGAGGGACCATGTGAGCAGATAATCACTGTCCTACGGTAACTGACAATAATGTCTAACAATAAATATCTGCACCTGTATGTGTTGTTGTTCACAGGAAACAGACCCTGATCCAGGCACTGCAAGCACAGAGAAAAACTATCTTACATTCAGGCCTATTCTGTCCTTCATGGTTCTCACTGTTTGTGTAATTCTGATGCTCCTAGATCATTTGTGGAGGAGAATGAGGGAGTCTACGACAGGCAGGTGTACGGCGTACTGGAGACTGTGGCTGTTTTAGATCCCTCTGTGGTCCAGGCTCTCATTCCCAACCTTTCTGTCAGTCTGAGAAACACTGAGCACAAGAGAGGACTGGGCAAGAACATCGCCTTAAGGTAAGAAAGTGCATGAATCATATCCTGGAGGCCACGTAGACAGTAATCATTGCCTTAAACTATTTTTAAGTCGTCTAGACAATAAACCTTTTCTGTACTGAACTAGAAATATTCTGTAGTTGTATTCTTTACTGAATGAGTCCATTAATGTGGCTGCTCCATCTCTCCGTGTAACAGGAGTGCATATAGGAAGTTGCTGTGCCTCCTCGGGGAGAGTGGGCAGGCTGAGCTCACCAGTTTGGAAGTGGACTGAAAAATTTAAAAAAAAAAAAAAAAAAAAAAAGAAGGACCAGCTCCAGGACCCAGCACCAGCTCCAAGAATCATTTCTTAGTCATACCAACCTTCTTCTTTGCTACATTTCCTGATTTGGTTGTCAGAGTGCATTACACTGTTACAGATGAGGGTGTCTTACAGAATCTGAGGGTTTTGTGCATTTCATTACTGTGATAATTAAAAGCTAAACTACTGGTTTAGTATACTGGAAAAAACAGCAAGCATACATGCAGCTGTGATGTTTCAAGAGGCCTCATCAATTACTTATCAGTACCTACTGAACTTTGATGTTCTTACTGCATGAGCCGAATGTGTTCCAATCATGGACTATAAGCCTAATATCACCAGACTGTATATAATGTACATGTTGTAAAGAATGTGTAGTTCTGCATTTGGATAGATGTATTAATAATGAAATAAAATGTGACAGTAAATACGAATGCGCTCATACTAGTCAATATACCTTTTCATCTCAGTTCTATAGTAAGAAAAATGAGCAATGTGAGCATTGAAGTGAGAACAGACTATTTGTGCTTATTCCATAAGGTGCTGGATCTGTTTCTACTCACTTGGCACTCAGAATTACAGATTTGATGACAGTCGTGGGCGAGCCCAAAGAGTTCAGTGGCAAAAAAGAAAAAGTACAGGAGAGTACTGTTTGTTCCAATTCTCTTTCTCGCCTTTCCAAGTCGCAGCAATCTCATGCAATCCGGCTTTAGTTTGCACCTAATCACATGAAGTCTCACTCCTGTCTCCCACAATCACCAAGTCCCATTTTCTGTCATTGCTAGTCATTTTCCAGCCTCATCAAACTGCAATGCATCCCTTCATCTGAGCAGCTGTCTGCTCTACTACGTTCCTTCTCTCCAACAGTATCAGAGGTGGTTGGAGAATTCATACAGAAGGTTGGCAGCAGAGCTGATACTTTAAATTAGTGTTAAATTATCTATTCCTGCTAAATAATTCTCACAGAAGACTAGTCACCTCCCTTCTTTCCTCTGTTACAGCTATTAACAGTCGTCATGAAATACATCCCAGCACAATTTATTTATGTAGCATCTTTATTCTGAAAACTTTCCATGTATTCTTTCAGACACAATGATTTGGACAGACGAGGGAAGTGCAGGGATCATGTTTTCTCTCTTTTGGTCAAAGTATTGTTTTTGAAAATCAGCGTAATGCAGAGTTATTATCATATCATATACACACTTTGGAGGATGTTCAGCAGATATTCTCTGAATAATGATAATGACCAAACATTCATTTGAACAACAACAGTCTTAGGTCCTGAGCGTAATAGAAATCTCACACTCTTACACAGGTTGATGTCATACACACATACAGTAGTATGTCACTGCTGTTGCAGAAAAAATCGATTCGTTTTTACCTTGTTTGAACTAAAAAATGACATGGTCATGTATGCACTGATGAGCTTCAGCCTCAGGCGCTTGATACTTGTTAACCCGATCTGTAATTTCAAAGTACAAGTGAGTCAGTGAGAAAACAGGTTCCTATATATCTGTAAAAACATTCTGCACATGTTCTTCAAGCCATCAGAGTGATTATATTGGTTTGATGGAGATATTATGTAGATATTTTATCTAGAAAAGCTCGTAAAGCCCTATGATGGGTTTAAAATTTTTTATTTTTTTAATTTGTGGACATTTAAGCAACTCAGCAATCAATTACGTGGTCATATGATTGGCATTTTGTTTGTGTCTTCTTAGGGAATTATAATCCTTCTTGAGTTATTTTTTCTTAACTTGCTCGTCGCGTCTTCACTGGACATCAGGAATGGCATCTGCCTTTGGGGAAATACAACAGTAATGCTGTTTTATTATAACAGCTGCTTGTGTCGGAGTCTCCTAGTAGCTTGCAGAATAACATGGCTCTCATAGATCAGGAAAATCATGTTATTACATTTGGGTCTCAGAGAAATCCCTGTGCACTCTTGTGACAGGTTCCAGATGATTACTATGATCAGGTACATTTTTGTCAGTCATATTTGCAAATACTGACTGTCCAGAGTTGAGCAGAGGTTCCTCCATCCTCTGATTGTGTGTTCATGTTTTCTGAAGTTTTGTTCATCAGGGGTTTAGACAGCACCTATTCTGTGATGGGGGACTTGTAGAGTCTGTAGGTTTGGGCAGGTGAAGTAAGGAGCAGGGAGGAAACAAGCTGCTATACCATTGGAGGCAAATGGCAACGTTGGTCCGTAGAAAACCTCCTCCTTCCCCTCTGAGCTCAGATCCAGCACCTGGAAAGAGGATGTTTAAGTAGTAATATTCAGATCTCATCATAAATTACTGTCAAGTACATCTGTTGTAAATATGACATAGTTGAGACACACTATTGGATGGACTGTCATGAAATCTGCACGGCACATTCATGCCATCCTTAGGATAAACTGTAATCACTTTGGTGATCCACTGATTTCTCACCTGACACTGTCATAATGAAAGTAAACATTATACTTGCTAAATATCAGCATGTTAGTAGCCAGCGTTAGCATTTAGCTCAAAGCATTGCTGTCCCTAAGTACAGCCTCACAGAGCTGCTAGCATGGCTACTTGTGCTACCATTGTTCCACTACAGCTTAACAAGAAAACCTCTCCTGGTAAATTTCATACTAGAAAGATCAAAACTTTGGAAGATAGCCACCTGATGTGATTAACTTTCAGACCACCGAATCCTCATGCTGGATTTTGTCCCCGTCCCTTACACTGACAGCGCTTCAGGGAGGGGTCTTTTAGTAGCCAGTATGAACAGGAGGAATGGTTATAGCAATTAAAAACAGTTTCTATGTTCTTATGTTTTTAGACAGACTTGAAAACATCATTAACCTATCCCTTAAATTAACGCCACTCCAAGTCCATTACGGCTCCCTGCAGCACAGTCTTCACATGCCCTCTAAGCCAACAATTCCTACAACAATCATTCTTACATTTTACACAGTAGAGAAGGAGGTAATAAATGGTAAATGGACTGCACTTATATAACTTCCTTTAAGCACAATTTGCCTCTCATTCAGCAATTCACACACACACACACATACACACACAATGCAAGATGCTGGCCTGACCATCAGGAACAAGTCAGGGTTCAGTGTCTTGTTCAAGGACGTCATTTGAAAACACAGCTACAAATTTACATACATAAAGCTACAGCAAAATCAGTGAAAGATATGGGGCCTGGTGAACCAAATACTGCACATATGAGTCGAGTGGACTGTGTCATTATTCTTCCCCATTCTTTATATTCAAGTGCAGTAATCATGGTAACCATACTTAACAAATCCGTCCATACAGAGTCTCTGCAATCAGCAACCACTCTGCTTTTAAATTTGATTGGTAGATACCTAAATATATTGTACTGAAACAGTCATCAATATGTATACCCAGCACTTATTTCTGTTACTATAGCAGTAGCATTTGATTATTCAACAATGCCAAAAATATTAAAAGTATTGAGCGGGCAATAAATGATCACATTGTGTCAAACAAGCAAGACAATGTGTGTTTAACTTGTTATATAATACAATATTTCTGACGCTGCAGCCTTTTTAAGGGTAAAATGAGGCTGATGGGGAAAAAAGCCTGGGACTCTCTCCAGAAACCGTCTGGGCCCTGGCTCCTTGTTTAACAATACAAGATGTGTGGTGTAATTCAGAGCAACGGATATTTTCTAATTAGTGTACTGCTGTTTCACTTCTCTGCATGAGCAGCATATGAATAACACTGAATAGCTGAATTCATATCACATATCTGATCATTCTGAAGTATCACAACAGTTGCACAGTAAAGCCACATCTCTCACCTGAATGCATGCCAGAGGCTCGTTGGTCCAAATGGAGTACCCTCCAACCACATAGATCCTGTCATCATGGACGGCTATTCCGGACTCGTTTTGACCTGAGGAGGACAGAGCCGACGCAATGCTTCACTGTGCCAAGCAGAGGGCATTCTGACAATATGACTTCCACGTCCCCCGAGAGGCAGGGAGGGAGATAAATGGAGAAAGATGGGGCAAGGGCGGGAGTGTGTGGAGAGTTAAGATTGAGCTCCCGTTCTCTTTCCTGTGACTTTGTCTCAAACTTTTACAGATAAAATGGGAGAAAAGGATGCAACAACAAATGAGGAAATTCATACAATAGGAGAGATGGTGGGATGAATAGTAAAGTCACCTGAACTTTAAACCGTGTGAGTCTTCATTAAAGACAACAGCAGTTCATTATAACATGAGTTAATATGACCACATCCTACAGTACAGGCACGGTAGATTGTCTCATGTGCCTGTGCTCCATCCCCAAAGTGTAAGGATATGTGTTTTCACTGTATATCATTCCACCGCCCCCTCAGCAGGGAGGCATTATAATGTTTTCATGTAATGAGAGGAGAATAAAGCACAGGGCTTCACTCAACCTATGTGTCCAACTACATACTGTACATATACATACTTCAATTAGCATCAAGGCATTGAAAACTCAGTTTCAAACCTTAACTATTTCTCTCTAACATTTAATACTCATGACTTAATAAGCTACAATCAAAGTTAAAGTAGTCTGAAAAAGAAACATCCTCAGGTATTATGTATTAATACTAAATACTAATCTGCTGCTTCATCAGGATGTGATATCATTTTTGTCTCATGTGAAACAGCCAAAACAGTTGTGAATTCATGTCAGATCCCACTGTTTATATAAGCTGACTGAGAATGTTTGTTTTCAGGGCCTTCAATAGAAAAGTTGACCATCAGTTTCAATCCAATATTAACTCTGCTTTTGCTCGGTTTTGCTTTCAACAAAGCAGTTAGCTAAGTTTGTTGAAGTCGTTGGGTGCTGGGCAGACAGCAGTGCGGTTTTAGAGCTTTCTCACTGAAACAGCTGCCTGCTGCATCAGAGAAAAAAAAAATCAACAAAAACAAAAGTTGTGGGCCAGAAAATCAATATAATGAGCTTAAAGACACTATAGAGCTCTGCAGAGCCGAGAGAAACTGCAGGCAGCTAGCCACCAAGACCAAACAATCCTACACATGTCTTTTGTTCTCAAGTATAGCTGTGTTTATTTATTGTGTTTATCTTAATGCAAGACAGCTGTATGGTTTTATTAACTGTTGTGTGACATGCTATGTCCCAACCACTATTGTTATTGTGTCATTTTATTAATTGTGTGTTGAATGACATACTGAAGATTACTCATTCCTAAATGCTGCTGGTGCCATATCCACTCTTTCTTATTTCCTATGGGTAATAATTACAATTCTCTGTGAGATCCGGATTATTACCATGATTATTATCTGGACCTTCAAACTCATAGATGTCAACACAATAATTATGTCTGATTTTTTACATCAAAATCCATCTTTACTATTTCCTGAGAAACTGACAAAAATGTCAAGAAATGCCCTATCCCAAGTGATTTTAAAAATTCCTGTGTCCGCCCCTTTAAACCGGATCAGCACCAAAATTTTATGGGTTCTTCCCCGGCCCCCATCCCTCAACCAAGTTTGGTGCAAATGTGTTCAGTGTTTTCTGCATAATCCTGCTGATAAACACACAAACAAAGAAACAAAGAGACTACACTATAAGCAGCCTCTGTCACATACAAGTGAAGGAATAGTTTTAGGAAGTGTGGTTATTCAACATCTTGCCAAGGGTTTGATGTAAAGACTGATACCACTCTCATATCTGTATGCTACATATGAATAAACGACTGGTTAGCTTAGCTTTGCACAAAAACTGGAAACAGGGAAACAGCTAGCCTTCCAAAACTTCTAAAGCTCATTGACTGACACTATATCTATTGTATAACACTTCTAGTTTGTTTGCTCTGTAAAAACAATAAAATGTTGGTTTACATGAGATTACATGTGGAACTATTTCTTGCTGAAGTTGCCAAACAACCAGCATGGGCAGGTTTTGTCATGTTTGGACAGAGCCAGGCAAACTGTGTCCCCCTGTTTCCAGGGTTTATGCTAAGCTAAGCTAATGGTCTCCAGAGTGTAGCTTTGTATTTAGTGTACACACATGGGAGTGGTATCAAACCATCAAGTGTGAATTTGGGTGTGTTCTGCATGTTAACACGTGTGGTTCCTTCACTTTGCCCACCCGTGAGGAGGCTGAAGGAGCAGCGAGTCCACTGGTCCAGGTCCATGTTGTAAGAGTCGATGTGGCGGACGAGGATGCGGTCGTTGTTGTAGTCCAGGTCGTTACCGCCTAGCACATAGAGCTGCCTCCTCACCGCCGCCATGACATGGTAAACTCGCCTCTGCAGCATGGGACTGCGGGCCAACCACTGGTCCTGAAGAGGAGGTGGAGGTGGAAGTGGAGGAGAGTGGATGAGGCAGTCAAAGCAGATGGAAGGGAAGAAAGAAGGAGGTGAGAGGTAGTAGCGAGAGGGAGGGAGGGAGGGAGGGAGGGAGAGAGAAACAGAGAGAGTGGAGAGGCAAGGAGGATGAATAAGAAGATTAATATTTAAGCATATCCATGCATGGGTAATTGATGTATGCTCAGTGCTAGATAAATAACGTGACACTAGAGCTCTGGTTTGTACTAATGACTTCCCTCCCTATTTCTAATCATATGTTTCAGCCACTCCATTTTACACCAAGGATCCCTGCTCATTTCACTAAGTGTGTTGTAGCTTATTTTGTGTCTGTGTGTATGTGTGTGTGTGTGTGTGAGTGCTTGATTGAGGCAGAGAATGAAAGTGTGTGTGTCTGTGTGTGTGTGTGTGTGTGTGTGTGTCTGCTGGGAGCTGACGGGTGGCCATCTGTTGAGGGTAGAGTGGGTGGGGGGTTGCTGTTGCTCTGGCAGGTGAATGTAGATTCATGGTGAATACAAATGAGACTCTCTCCCTCCCTCTTTCATTCGCTTCTTCGCTCCCTCGCTTCCACGCCAACATGTACAAACACAGACCCATATGGATATGCACCTTACTCTTATACACACTGCATACCTCCATATCATATACAGCCTCACCGAGATCCAGGCCCCTTCAACAGCTGGCTCGTAATGTACACAAACACAAACCGCAGCTTACTACATTCCTCTGTAGCTGAGCTGAGTGTGAGTGTTGCAAATATAGAAATGATATTTAATAAAATTCATTCAAATTCAGAGGACAACAAAATAAATATAGGATTGTTCACTTTGTATTTAGGATAAAAGGTTGTAACTTGTAGAGGAAACACTGGGAGGATTTACATTAAAGGACCAGTGCGACCGGTAAGCATGATTAATTAACTACAACTTACTGCTGATTATATTTTAAAGTGAGCTGTAGAGTTTCAAACAGGTGTATGTAGTTTTCTTATTTTCCTGGGTGCCTTTGGTTTCACTTAATTTCCATATGGTGTGAAAATCAATTAGGAGACTCTTGACTCTTGCCTGTTGTGTAATCTGTCACCGTAAACATAAGGTCTGCACTAATGTTCCGAAAAAAAGCCATTGTTGTTACGCTGATGTGTTCTAAGTTTAGATTAACAATATAAAGCAATAAAAAAAATGAATGCAGATTTAACACTAACTGTAATCTCAGGTGTCTTTTTATAGGCCAATATCACAAATATGTCTCAGAGGACTATCGCGTCTGAAAAACATGGACACCCTCTCTCTTTACGACAGAAGATGCTCACCCATGTTTTTTAACCATAAAACAGGGGAACCCTAGAAAGGAGGCGTAGCTCTTCTAGGACAAGTTAAGACATGTTACTGTGTGTGGACAGAAAAATCAGTTGCAGAATGAATTTATGTGGAAAAGGATTTTGAACAGAACTTGAAGAATTTAGAGGAACTTTATAATCAGAATGACATTTTTTTTTTTTTGCCTAGTGGCCTTTATCAGTGTCGCTCACAAGCTGAAATGCTTCAGTCTGACACTGACAAGTTGTTTTTAATAGTTAAAGTGTTACTAATGTTTGGATCCTTTATGTACTGAACTGAATGGATGCCAATAGCTTTCTGGAGGGTTAAACCTCTATTAAATTTATTTTTTGGCCACTTGGGGAAGATGGGTAAAGAAAATTGTCAAGTCGAACATTTTAGCAAACATTAGCTTCTCACACAGCCAGCAAGAACAGAGAAACATCAGTATTCATTTGGACTCCTGTCTCAGGCGACTTTACTAATATAAGCCCAGCGTTCACTGCTCTCTGTTCTCTGGTCTCCAGTAATTCTTTATCTGCTGAGTGCTTCACCAGGCAGTTGCTGTAATGGCCTGAGTTGGGCAGGTAGTGTATGGTGAGTTTTTTTTTTTTTTTTTTTTTTTTTTTTTTTTTAGCTGAAAACAACTGCCTGCTGCTGGAAACAGTGAGAGCAGTGAGAGTGGAACCAAAACAGAAACCAAAACAAATGTGTGAACAGACACTAGAAAGCTGAGGGGGGCCGTAGAGATTGATGATAATTCTCTGTGGGTCCATTAAACATCTCTTTCACATTACACATAGTAATTTGATCCATTGTTAATATAAAATGTTTGTAATAGCAGCTTTAAAAATATGAGACTCTACACAGCATGCGTTCAGATATAGTCAGCAGTAATATAGTACAGTAGACTATAGGTGTAGTTAATTTGTGGTGTAAACTGCCGTCACTTCACAGTTACCTGTTCTGGATCGTACACCATTAGTCGATTCTGGTACTGAGCTGTGTTTGTCACCCCACCTGGAACACAAAGGAACAGCAGCCTGGGCTTTTATCAGAGAGTGAAAGATGTAGGTACAAATATGCATGAAGCAGTGTGTGTGTCTTAGCTAAATGTCAAGAGTGTGTCTGTGCATGTATATGTTCTGGTACGTGTGGAATAAGGGTACAAGTAAGCGTATGTATGTGTAGTGTATGATCTGTAGTCCTTCTTCCCCATCACTGTTTACCTGAGACCCAGAGCAGGTTGTCAGCCACACAGCCGGCGTGGCAGGACAGAGAGCGGTCAAAGGGTTGGACAAACATCCATTTGTTCCTCTTGGGACAGTAGCGCTCCACGGAGGGCAGCACCTGCCTCAGCTCGTTCCTGCCCCCCACTGCGTACAGGTACTGACCCAGAGCTCCCAGGACAAAGTGTTCTCTGCAGGCCTTCATGGGGGCTATCTCAGTCCACCGGTTGCCCCTGGGGTCGTACCTACAGGCAGTCCTTACTGCACACGTCCTCCCGGTCGCATGCTCCACCTCCCCACCCACAACAAATAGGAAGTTCCCCATTACAGCCACACAGTGGTGGCTGCGCCCGGTGGGCATGGGCGCCAGCTCGCTCCAGTTCGACCCACCTGCAACACGCACGTGCTCCTGTGCGGCTGGGTTGAAATACCGCAGCTCCCTGACTCTGCTCACCTCCCGCTTCCGTCCTCCGGCTATGTAGAGGGTGAGGGACTGGAAGCGAGGCCTGGTGCGGGCTGACTGGCGAAGAGGCTGGGCAAAGGTGGCGTGATGATAGTCTAGGGCCTCGTCCACCAGGGCGGCAGCGGTGGGGCTGGACTGGACCAGAGGGTGGCTGTGGGCCAGGTGGTGCAGGGTGGGGACGTCCATCAGGCCATAGCGGACATGTTGTAGAAGATCCTCCGTGTACTGGTAGCGACAGTCATGTTCCAACCACAGAACGACCAACTAGAGGCAGAGAGAGAGAGGAGGAACAGTTATGGACTGTGCCAACAGTCATTCCCACCTTCATGGAAAGGCAAGAGTTAAATGTGTCATATAGTTTGCCTATTATATAACTGTTTGCTCAGGAACATAAATTTGGAACTGCTAAATCAAATTTTAATTTGAGATTTAGTGTCTATGTCAAAATTATAGTTCCATCAAACTAAAGTTTAAATTGGGGTAAACCATCTTAAATTCTTTGTGCTTTACTTCTCTTATTTATTATTGGTAAAATGAGTTGAACCAATTTAATGCTGTTGTGTTATTTTGACACATAAGGAGGTGGGTGTTGCAGTTTTTTTAGTCAAGGGAAGGGTTCAAAGAAAATATTAATAACTCTGAGCTTTTTTAAAACGTGCAACAAAAAGTTCAGCTGGCTCGCCATTTTATAACTTTTATACGGCCCCTTAAAAAGAGAGTGGGAAGAAGGAAGAAGTAAGAATATGGAACAGAGAGAAGGAGGAAGAAAGAAGGTATAAGAGAAAAGGAATAGAAAAGACAGACAACTTGGAGTAAGTATGAAAAGAAAGAAAGATCAGAGGAGTGAGAAGTTGGGAAGAAAAGCAGAAAATGGAGAAAGAAAACCAAAGGAGAAAAAACAAGTGAAGGACTGCTAATCATAATTGTTTTTCTAGACACCTACAGGCTATTATGGCAAGGCTGAGGCAAACCATCACATACACATACTTGCCAACACACACACACACACACACACACACACACACACACACACACACACACACACACACACACACACACACACACACACACACACACACACACAAGCATTTATTAATCAGTAGCATTCCATATACAGACTGTAAATATCCACAGGCACCCTCCTTTGTTTAATGCAGGCAAACTGGGTTCCAGAGAAGGGATTTAATTGAACTTGAGAACAGTGCAAGGTTATTTAGCTGCAATGAGGAGTGTATGTGGGCAAGATGACTGGAGATCACTGATGCCATTATCAGGAAAAAGAAGTGGGTTTTTTTTTCCAACATTATCGGCGCAGAGACTGAGAATTTAGGGATGCAGAATAAAGGCAAGTTTAGGGGGCAAAGGAGACGGAGGTGGTGACAAGGACGACCGTGGACAAATCAGACAAACACTGAACAATATTCACAGTATTACAGAAACAGAAACCATCACACAGCATTTGGTGCATGATGTGTGTACAAATACTGAATGTGTACATTATCTTATCTATCCAGACCTTCCTTTATTTTCCCTTCAATCCACTGTTAATTTGTGAATATGCAACAAACATGCAAGTGGAGATTGTCTTTTTGTGGTATCTGTGCCACTCTCCTGTCTCTACTTCCCTTTCTCTATCGCTCACCCCACCTCTCTCCTCCTCACAGCTCTGAAGTGACTGTGTGTGTGTGTGTGTGTGTGTGTGTGTGTGTGTGTGTGTGTGTGTGTGCGTGTGCGTGTGTGTGTATGTGTGTGTATGTGTGTGTGTGTGTGTGTGCGTGCACACTATGGCAGCTGACTGTGAAGGTCACGCTGCATCACACAACTTCCTCAGGGCACAGAATAAATCAACTCCTTCTCCCTCCTTCCCCTCTGTACTGAAAGAGAAAGTGGGAGAGAGAGTGTGTGTGTCTGTGTGTGTGAAAAGGAGAGAGTGAGGGAAACAGATAGTGAGGGAGAGAGGTAAAGGGGGGGGGCTACAGAAAGGCAGAGCAGGATGGCAAGAAAGAAGAGAGAGGAGAAAAAAAAAACAAAGCCAGAGAAAATGTGATTTCCAGAGCGTGAGAGACTCTAAGAAAACTCTGAGTGACAATGATTGACGGCCAAGCTATATCTGTCCGGTATTGGCGTGCGCAGCCCTCCCCACCCACCACCCCACTCTTTCGAACGACGGCCCCCGCTTGCCGTTCGCTTCCGTCTGATGCCCAAATTAACCTTCTGGGCGAAGTGAAGGAGGCCCAAAGCAGCCTAATCAGAGGCTGATTATGGCGGCGGCGGCTGGCTAAAGGGTCAGGGTAATTGTGCCATCAGAGGCCTGATTGTTTTCAATCAGACGGGCGGCCGAGTGACAGCTGGGGGATTGGGGCCCTGATGGAGCCGCGGTGGGCCTAATCAGAGAAGAGAAGGGGAGAAAGACAGAGGGAGAGAGATCTGGCGGGGGTGGGGGGGTGGTGGGTGAGGTGGGAGGAGGAGGAGGGGAGGCTGATTGGTGCAAATGAACAGTCAAAACGGCAAGTCCCCACCCTGCACTACCGCCTCACTCCACAATCCCGGCAGTTTATTAAGCATTCACACACACACACACACGCACACGCACACTCACGTGGATGTATGGACTAGCTGTCCATCACACAGTGAGAAACAGTCCTTCCTTTTCCTACTGTCCTTCATATAAACAAACAGTACATGACATACAGATGGCAGTGTTTAGTTTGTTGTTTATCAGTCTGTGTGTTGGATGTGTATTGTGTCAGGCGCACACACATACACACAAACACAAACACACACACACACACGCACACACACACACACACACACACACTCACACACACACACGCACTTCCTGTACCTTCCATATCTCCTCCTCGCTCAGGGAGGTGAGGCGGTCGCTCTTCAGCACCTCCCTGAGGAGGCGGTAGGGCAGCTGCAGGGCCTCGTCCTGCCGGCTCTGGCTCAGCTCAGACAGATGCTCCACCAGGAAGCCCACCACAGCCTCCTCTAAGGCGGGGAGGTGGAACAGGTCGGCAACGCGGTACAGCTCCAGGTAGTTTACGCTGCTCAGCTCCTGCAGGACGAATACACATAAACATACAGACGAATGCACGTCTTCATTTACATAAGTTGAAAGGCTTCAGAGACAGCTGTCAGACCACATGATGGTAAAACACACTATGGTAACTAATGATGATGAGTTTGTCTGGCAAAGCTGGGGAACACACCTAACCCTGAATCCCCATTTAGAAAATCTGTGAAACTGTAACAGCTACTGCTCTATCTTCTCCCCAGTTTCCATCAGTTGGACCTTTGCGAAGACAAATACAATGGTTTCATTTGAAGTGTTTTTTATTCCAAGGTAAATGACCTCACTGTTAATATCATCTAAATATTCCAAATTTGCTGGGAGCTGCCTTTAGGCAAACCCTCACCCTGACACTTAGACAATATTCCACACTTAGTCTTTGATTTAATGTCACATTTATGTATGTAGGTATGTATTTTATTCAGCAGAGATGGTCATATACACTCATCCCCCATACATATATTAGATAGTATATGTACTCTATTACACAAACCAGACACACACACACACATATACACACACACATATATATATATATATATATTTATTTACACACTGTGAGCTGATTTCAGGGTCATAGTTAAATGACAAACACAGATGCCAAATGTGGTGACAGGCCGACAGAGAATAAGCATAGATACAACAAACTGATAATGTGACTAGTGGAATAAGACTGCCATCTTCTGGCTGTCCTTCAGCACAGACAGTACAAACATTCTCTTCTGCTACTGTTCACCTTACAATAATATAATACCTCAACGGATCAACCACTCAACCACTTTATTTTACAGATAAAGTACGATAAAGTGAATTGTTCTTGAATTGTCTTCAATACATATTAGAATGATGATTGTACAAATAGAAATAATCAGTCAAAAGGTTTCTTAAGAATCAATTCAGACAAAAACTTATAGAGCTATACACAGCAAGTGTAGTACTGATCAATTATTCAATATTCAATTAACTGACTTCTGCACATCAGCATCCATCACACTGGAGGTGGATGATGCTGACTGGCTGATATATCTCATTTTCAATCAGCTGGTGCAGTGTGTGTATTGGGAAATCAATGTTATTGGTCTGGCCCCTGTATTATCTACTCAAACTAAACAGCAAGTGTAACAGTCATCTGATATGACTTGTGATGAGCACACACGCATGTTAATCAGGTAAAGTGATGACCACACACGAAACTCATGACTTATTCAGGAGGATATTCGCTCCAGTCAACACAAGCAGACAGAGACGAGGCTTTTGCAACCACCAGGTGGCAGATTAGAGCAAAGTTTACCATTGTGATGTAACTGTAAGGACAATGGCAAAATACAATGCAGGAAGATGACAGTGTGGTGGCAGGGATCTGAGGATACGGTCACCAGATAAAACAGTACATGCAATTAATACCGAGTATGTGTATGTAATGAAGTGATTCTAAAACCACGGCAAAATGCTTGAGTTCCAGTCAAAACACATAAATATAGCACCTCTCTAGTCTAGTCAAGGCACTTCACACTACACTCATCCATTCACACAGACTCACACACCAGTGAACGACCAGGGGCAATTTGGAGTTCAGTATCTCGCCCAAGGACACAGACTGGAGGAGCCAGGGATCGAACCAGCGACCTTCTGATGAGTAGACGACCCGCTCTACCTCCTGAGCCGCAGTCTGTGTATAAAATGCCTTTGAGTGACCTGATTTGTCTTTATCCACAGCAGCCTCTGGCTGTATACCCAGAGGACAGAGGGCTGACTTTGCCTCCGTTCCAGCAGACCCATCTTGGTCTCTGTCTTAAAAGGCAACAGGGTGGCCTAGTTCTTGAAGAAATCTGGACTCAGGCATCTTAGCTGACAAGTTTCCACCCTGCTGAAGTGTCCTTGAGCATACCACTGAATCTGGCTCAAGGGCTTCTGTTCTGCTCTCTAAGTGACTCTGACCTGCAACTTCCCCCGTGGAGAAGGACACACTAGACCATTCACTACAGATTGCTGTAGATTCAGATCAATTAATTAAATGCAGATCAATTCATTCATTAATTTCGTATCACATGTGCTATGTTAGGCTCAGTATCTCCTGGCTCTTGCTTCATGTGTAGCGCACGGATTTAACGGTGGTATCCAACCTCTCATATGACTCTACACAAGAAAGCTAATAAGTGCATTTCTCAAAATGTGGATCTATTCCTTTATTGATGTTCCTGTTGCTCCTATCAGCACAAGTGTCATTCATTTCTTCTCATTTTCTTAAACAGAAAGTAGAAAGGGAGGATCATATACAATGCTCATTTTACACACTGCTCTCAGGTATGATCTGGGGTTTTGGAGTTTGGGTTTGTGACCAAGATTGTGCCAAAAAACTTTCACCCGTAAACATGTTTATCCAGATTTCTGTCATTATGTTGTGTTTGCACAAGTATATGTTTGACTCAAGTGACGCTCTTGTCTTTTAGTTTTACTCCTTTTCTGGTGAGAAGATGGAGAGGCCGTGTCAGTATTTTAGCCATACAAATTACGCAGCCAGTACCAATATATTCACCGTAAAGACTGGGTCCATGCTGCTCTGTTGTTTCCACAAAGGGGAACACTTATTGGTTTCTAGTGCACTTTAATAAATGTGTGAAACAAGTTGAAATATAAAGGTTATTCCACTTTAAGTTAAGTGGCCCATTTGTATCAAATGTCTTTGCTAGTCCCCGCAGACAGGATCAAACGGACCAACTGTTCCTGAGTGGAACCCACCTCTCAAAACGCACTGATATTACAGGATTTCCATTAATCTGATGGGAACCCTGCAGTGCGAAGTGGTTGTTCCTCTGATTTCCTCTTATTACGTCCCCAGCCCACACACAGGGACAGCTTCATGTGTGTGTACCTGGATGAGGTAGTGGGAGCAGAGGCTGAGGAGCTCCAGCAGCTGAAGGTGGCTGCCTGCAGACAGGACGTCCTGGATCACCGCCGGCTCCAGCAGAATCTGGGCATAGATAGAGATAAACAAGGTCAGCAGTTTCTTTTTATATTTACATTTATTGACCTTTTTTTTATTTCAGACACACTGATTTTCGAAGGATTCTAGTATTTGTTTTTTGAAAATGATTTAATTTATATTGTTGTTTATAATCATGTTATTAATTGAGAGCATATTTAATTATATGAAAAACAGCACAACATTATGAGTGTATTTTTCGCTACTATAGATCATATTAACCCTGTGCATACCTCAATCAGAACTATACCACATCAAGTTATTTGTTTTATCTAGTTAAGCCCTCTACTTCCTCCTTTTTGTCAAATATTTGTTGAAGACCTTTCATTTTCTAATGTTTTTCTCTAAAACACACAGACACAAGAATGAAGGTCATGGTGAAGGTTCATGTTTTCTGTAATTTCTTTTGATATTGAAGAGTTTTGATGACAGTAACTGAGGACGAGTGTTATATTTTTCTACCAAGTGATGAATCGGATATTTCAGACGCAAAGTTGAATAATGAGTATGATGATGCTGACTCGGAGGACAAGAGCAAAAGCGGTGGACAAAACTGAGCTGCAAAGACCATAAGACAGTGAGTGTGAATTGTGATTATGGAGCTGACTGGTTTATGTTTGGTAAGTACCTGTCACTGAGCAGTTATAGCAGCCTAAGTGTAACGCAATATGAAGTTTAGCGAAAGTTCAGTCAGGAAGACCTGTTTCCTTGAACATGCCTCCTAAGTCACAAGCACCGTTTCCTGCTTTCTCATCTTCATCCAATCACAACCTAACATGCTGACCTTTAGCCAATCACTTGTAAGCTGTCAAACTTTAAAAGCGTTCCCTCTCTCTGCTGTCATTCAGCACTGTGGAAAAAAAAAGAAAAAGATATGAGGAATATTAAGAAAAAAACCCTCATTTAAGGTTTAAATCATAATCTCTTAGGTTTAGCACCAAGCTATGTACTACGTATCCAATGTCCATGTTTGTTTCACTTTTTAGTTACAGATCATTTTAGTTTAGTATCAAAAACTGTCTATGTTCCGGTTATTTTCTTAATAAACATGTTGCAACAGAGACGGGGAAAGTGAGTGTGACATACTGCATAGCAAATCGAACACTGCTCTATCAACGTGCTTGAGTCACCATTATCATCCTCTCAGCAAAGCAACATATTCCTACAATTTTTACAGCATTGATTCTGCCAAAATGCTTCCTGTTGAGCTGAATGAACAGCAGCTGAAATTATCTGCTGAAAGCTTCCTTCTGTTTCCTCCATATTAGCCACATATGCAACGTAAAGCCCTGTAACACAGCCAAGTGATATTGCTGGGCTCTCAGGAGCAGAGCCAGGTAATATGAATTGTATGGAGGGTAGACTGTCATTTTTGATTGAGCATACTAACGGGACCACATGGAGTTAAATATTCCATTAATCAAAGGAGTAATTACCCAATCAGGCTAGACGTGCGTCATGTAACCTCTCACACAGTGGACTCACCTACTCCAAATGAAGTGTAGTTTGGTTTTAAAAGGAAGGAACAAATAATTGATAATCCATTCAGCAGGCTGCCCTACATATCCATAAAGCTGTGACTGCATCAGTAGTGAAAGTGAGAAAAATGACTTTGACTACTCATTATTTATCATCTTTGAAAATAGAAAAAGCAGCTTGTGTTTTTCATCTCAGTGGAACAGACTTGAATACAAACGTCTTCCGGTGCATGTTTGTCCACTTGTTGGTGTGAAAAACATTTCACTTGGCTTTTGTGCTGATTACATTTCCTGCATAGAAATAAACCCATCATTTGACCACTTTAGCATTCGTGTAAACAGTTCATTTGAAATCATCAGGCAATTTGTTTAGAATGATAAAATATTTTACATGGGACTACAGCCACTTAGAACAATTCCCAGCAAGCTTTGCTGACTAGTCCCCCCCCCCCCCCCCTTCTCTGCAATTAGCTTCATCTGCACATTCCCATTTTTCACAGTGTTGTTTCCTGCCAGGCATGGGCAGGCGTCCAGTTAACCACTGGCATGATCTATGGGCATCCATAAGCTTTACATATTAAGATGGAGAGCAGCAATGAGTGCATCTTTGCCCTCAAGAGACATTGGACTTGAATGAGAATTGAAGTACTCTATCTATGGTCCTATTTTAAAGGTCGCATATTGTAAAAAGTTAGATTTCCATATTGATTATAAAGCAGGTCTAGCTTCTATATTGATACTGTGAAAGTATCAAAATGTGCAATCCACAGAGGATTGCACACAGCCGGTATTCAAAAACTGTGTCTTAAAACGAGTTGCCAGGACTTCTGTAACGTTGTGGCCTTCCTGGACTCAGTGTCCAAGCTTGCAGCATGTGATTTCTCCAAGTGTGTGTTCTTGAAGTGTACTATATTTTTATTCAATCACTCAGAAAACAGTCAGAGAAGCTCAGAGCTTCTCTCTTTTGATTGGCTCATTGACGTGTTGTTACTAGAGCTCCAAAGAGAAGCCTGAGAGAAGAGATGTAAAATTACATTGAGATAATTTTTGGTTCTTAAAATCCACAAATATATCTTCTTATGGATCAAAACTTCAAATAAAACAGGAGTAGTGTAAAAAAAATATGGGAACTTTAAACACCACTGCTTATTTTATCAGATGAACATAAGCCAAAGGAAAAGTGACCAAAAACAACAAACCACACATTTTCCTTTTTTTCTTTGACTCGATCAGCATCCTGGCAGGAAGCAGCAACAACCCAAAATAATAACTGTAATAACTGTAAGTGAACGCTCCTCATGCCCTGCTCTCCTGTCCACTCCAGAGCCCCGCTACAGTGAGAGCACTTCACCCTCACACAGCAGAAGTCAGTTTTATAACACCGCGCCTGGTTCGATGTGGGAGTACAGTGAGCTCTTGTGTAAACCGACATTTATTGCGTTTGATACTTGCAAGCTTTTACCTGGAGGAGAAGACAGAATGAAAGGAGCTATTCTGCTTGTATGGCAGAATATAGATGTCTTCTACCTGGGATGTGACCCATGTAGGCTCACTCCACTCTATTTCACAATTTTAGCTGAGAAAAATAGAAGATTTATGGTCTGAGAAATTGAATGTCTGTGGGTAATATAAGCAGCAGGATTTTGTGTGTTTAATTGATTGAGATCTCCCCTGTGGTCTTGGCATGCAGTGAAAAAATTCAGTGAAGCTACTGACTGACTTCCAGTCTGACAGCATCCTGTGGCAGCATGTTTCCTCACTCACCCTGCTGGCCTATGACATGTGGCTGAAGGATTTTTAGTAGGTCATTATTTACGGTGTGGGGATAAGCATATTGCCCTCATCTCATCTGCTATCATTTCCTCTGGGCAGACAGGAGCTGGGCCAACCGAAGCAGGGCGGCTTTCAAGCCTGCTGTTGACCTACTTACACTGCCTAACCGATTTACTCTTTGCTCATTTCCACAGTGGAAATAAAATTAGGAGTAATTACAAAGTTCCTGGCCTCTCAGTACACTGCATAATCCACTGGGCTGCTTATTGGACTGGGCATTGCTGGCACTAAAAAGGTCAAGGGAGTTATCAGAAATGATCACACACTTACTCTTTGTTGATGGGGTGAGAAGGCAAGGACAGTGGCATCACTCATATGACAGTTGCTGCTTTAGGTAATAATAAAATAGGCTACTGCGCTCTTTACTTCTCCTTTCTTGAACTTATTTCTGTTTCTTATTTAGGTCCCAGAATAATGTTAAGAAGTGTGACCACAGCAGACAGAGGAGTGACCAGTTTATAGTAAAATCTGATGAAGCATCTTCACACTCCTAAAACACAGTATTCAAAGGCATGCTGCAGTGGAAGCTTATGCTGCGAGATTAAAGTGGTAATCTGCAAAATCCATGTTTTGATTTATTTTGGTGACATATTTGGAAGTGTTGAAAGGTAACTACTGCAACTAAGTACTTATTTTACTTGAGTATTTCCATTTTTTTTGCTACTTTAGACTTGGATTCAACCATATAGGCCTATATATTGCACTTTTTTACTCGTTTTACTCTTTCAGCACTTTAAGGACATACCATGAACGAAAATACAGGACAAATTGTGTCCCCCTCCATAGAGAACATAGCCTTTGCAGTCACCAGATCTCAACCCAGTTGAACCTATGAGAGATTTTGGACTTATATCTTAGACAGGGCTCTCCAACACCACCATCACAACAGTAAATGAATTATCTTATGGAAGAATGGTTGTTCATTCATTCATTCATTCATTCATTCGTTCATTCATTTGTTCATTCATTCATTCAGTGCCAGAGACTTTTAGAATCAATGCCAAGACACATTGAACCTGTTCTGGCAGCTTGTGATGGCTCAGCACTTTGCTACACTTTATATTGGTTTTTAATTTGTCACCTGTCGGTATATAAGATTAAAGTTAAGTTAAAATTTGTTCCCCCACACCCAGCAACAACATTTAAATGTCGCAGCATCCATAATAATTCAATTATGCTCAAAAAAACATCACTATCAGTGCTTGCCAGTCACTCACCAGCATGTTGTTAGCTGATTGAGTTAGCAGCTGATGTTAACTGTAAGCGCTGTTGTCTGCAAGTGTGAGGTGGATGGGCTTGGTTGGTTTGTTTGGTGGGTTTGGCTTCATTATCTGCCAGTGCTGGCAACATGCTGGTTATTAGCTTAGCCTGTCAGTTCACATTGCTAGGCTCACTTAGCTAAGCTGGTTAGCTTGCCATGTTAGTTTGCTTACCCATGTCAAAGTTCATGGTAATGTGAACCCATCACATGTGCTTGGTGATGTTAGCTTTGTGTCCTGGCAAGGGTTCTTTGTGAGGCCATGTGTTTCTAGCATGTGTTAGCCAGAGTGTTAGCTTGCTTTGGAGGACTGTTGAGAGGTGGGAGGTACGTGTGCCCTACACTAGTTATTGAGAAGGTGCCCACCTGATGACCCTGTAGACTTGCTATTACGGTACACTACACTTAGCTTCACAATGAAAATATTCTTTTGTCTTTTGTAAGACAGGTCAAAAATTCATGTGTGGAAACATTTCTCATACCAGAGAGGTTGCTAATTAGTGTCTTGGGATGTTTGACTACTGAGCAGGCCATGGCATTCAAACGTTGCTGCCTTTCAAGCCAGTGGGGCCGGCCGATGCAGTGTAACCTAAGTAGAAGAATTGAGGGTATAAGGGCTGACCAAGCAGCCAAGGACAGTTAAAATGAACATCAGGTCAGGATTAGAGAATAGTGTCACCTGATATAGGGCTCAGTGGTACTGCACGGCCTAATGACAGGTAAAAACATCATTTAACATTTGTACGGGGCCTCCATCTACATTTAAGCACATTTCACCATGTGTACTGATATATACTTTTGCTGAAAATACTTATTTTACACCCATAAGTTTCTAATTTCACTTACAGAAATAATTTTGAATGCATGACCTTTATTTATAAGAGAGTATATTTACTTTGTGGTACTGGTACTTTTACTAAAGAAAAGGATTTGAATCTTTCACCACTGCTCTGTGGTTTTGGCTCCGGTGTTGTTGAATAGTACTTCCCGGCTATCATCTCCCAATAAAACAGAGTGTGAGAGTGTAACTGTGGGAAATATTGTTTTTGGTCTGCTCAGTTGTGCTGGCTGTTTCTCATGCTCACCTGTCCAGTGTAGGCGAAGTCTAAAGCGTGCTTTAGTCCAACGCTGGTCACCCCTTGCAGAGTCACTTCGTCTGCCTCACTCTCCACCATGCACAGGCTGAACATGGCCTGATGACACATAGCCAAAACATGGAGGTTAGCTGAAGGAACACAACGCCACAGATATTCTATATAGCACTAATGGTCTTTGGTTTAAAAAAAAATGAGACCAAGCAATGACACATTTGAATTGAAAATGCCAAGTTTTCATTTGTATTGATGGTAAAATCAATCCAACTTTGTTGTTCCAGTCATTCAATGTCGATTCTGTAAGGTTGTTTATGTTAGACCGGCTTTGTATGTGTACTTGCTAAAAAAAATTAATCAAAACTTGCCAGACACAACATCCTAGAGCCCTTCTGTATTGATTTACCTGCCTTGGCCCCCGGAGGTCAGCAGAAATAAACAGCACAATCAGTACTTTCTGTTTCACTGCCTCTCTGTCTTTCTCTCCTTCTGTCACGCACATGCACACACACACACACACACACACACTCTCTCACAGTCATGCGTGTGCACATCACACATGTGAAATCAAAGCAGCGGACGCAGCGTCTGCAGTCTGACCCTGCTGTGCATGAGTCCAGCTTGCTGCTCGCTAATCAAAGCTATTGACTGGTGTCACACCATGAGGGGATGTTAGAGCCATTGATCATGGCCGACCAACAAAGCGCAGCAGTGTGGAGGGGAAGAGTGAGAGGAGGGCGATGGGTCAAATGTGACAATGGTGAAGAACACCTCCACTACTATGTCTTCTTAGTTATGAGGCGCAGCAAGGTTATGAAGGTTTAGTTTATTTTTCTGGGTTGTAATGGGACAAACAGACACCATTAATTACTTTTGAAAACTAGTTGTAGCTTATCTAGGCAATTTCTTTCCCCGCAGTTTCCTCGCCTCACTTTAATGATCTAGCTAACTTGCAATTTCGCATATCTTTTTAATCATGGTAGCAGTTTGCAGAGCAGTCACTCTACACTATCTCTACTGAGAGACTGGTGTATAACTGCATTATAAGGCTCAAAGGCCCCTCAGGCTGGCCAGTTAGCATAGCATCTCTTTCTGTCACGAAAATGACATTCATTCCTCCCAAACCTCATCTGATTCTCTCTGATTCAGAGGCACCAACCCCCTCCGATGGCAAATGTGATGTGTGAGACAAGGTCGACTTCAGGCCATGCTGAGTTTTATCCAAGGCCTGCTCATCTCTCCTCAGAGCTCAGCCTTGTTGATTCACCACTGCTCTAATTAAAAATCCACTGGTCCACTGAGCACGGGAGGTCCTGTGGCTAAACCTGGGGTGTGATGGTGGCTGAGCTTTGGTCAGAGTGTACAAGAGTGTAAAACGCATAAAGTTAGAGAGAGACATAGGCGGTAAATAAAAAGCAGAGGAGGAACTGCCTATATGTTCGCTTCTATTGCATGTTTGTGTGTGTTAGTATATGAATGGTGGTGGGTGGGTGGGGGGGTTGGTGGTTGTGAGAGGGCGCTCTGAGAGCGTCTGCAGAGCTGTTCGCCTCCAGCATGAATGCTCCTGACCTTGGTGGAGGAGCTGAGGGAGTGCTGGTGGTGATGGATGCCCCCTCTGACTTGGGATATAGATCACAGAGACACATTGAGCTGCTCACTGCAGTCCTTTCACATGATGCTGCAGTGAGAGTGCAGCGCTGCAGTTAGCCTGGCCTGACAGCAAAATTTATGTGTCTGCTTGGGGTGATCATACCAGCGAGCCTCGTGACTCGCTCACACACCCACTGAAATATTACAGTATTCAGTGAGGTTGTTTTTATGTCTGAGTAAAATATTAGAATTTCTCTTAGGGCCTGTGAATACATTTATAGGTATTTCACAGAGATAGCGATATCTTACATGGAAAACTCTTATAATGCCCAAGGCTCAGATGTTTTGGTTTTTGAAGACAAGTGCAAATACCAACGGTTTTGGACTGAAGTTGACAACTGTAGGAATGTTATGCAAATATTCTTCTTCAGATTTGACCTTTATCATGTCATGAAATAAGCAAAGTCTACAAGGAGCTAAAGTGTTTAGAAGAATTTTACTTTTGACAACTGGTATTATTGATAGTATTGTGGTATGTTTATGTTTGGTTGGATCAAAATGTTGCACGCATTAATTCAACTTCTCTGTTCTTCAGACACGGAATAATTCCAATTTTATCCAGCTAACTTCATCAGGGCATTTTGAGGCTTTTATAAAGTTATCCTGAGCAACACTGTAAAGTTGATTGGGATCCTAATGCTAATGACTTCTATGTTTGTTCTCTATACCTGTAAATTAGTTCATGTATGAGGTTCCAGATAAATTTTGAGACAGATTTGAACCATCAATGAAATCAGGCTAGCTCAGTTGTCCACATTCCAAGAACAAGGCTCAGGTATTTTTTATAGACAACCACTATATTCTTGACTGATGCTGTATTATATTATATAAAACATATAATACGCAAACCCAAAGACCTGTTTAACAGGACATCAGTGATGCAGTTGTTCTAGCACCCTATTGTTTCTTATATACTGCAAAGAAAACCAAAGTTGAACACTGAATGTTTTTTTCATGCACTCTGAGAGGTGAGTGGGATAAAACACTGTGCACATCAAATCCTCACACACTGACGTCCCCTCAGGGATCAATTTACAGTATATCAAATTATCAAATCAAGCTGTGTGAGAAGGCACAGAGGGGTGATTATGTGTTTTGAACTAGATACTGTAAAATCTGTCTTAAAAGAGCACCATCGTCATAAAGTAGTAAAAACAATAACAGAGTTCTGTGTAGTACATGTTGTACATTCAGTGTGAAATGTTTCTTTGAGACAATAATTGCTTTTGATATGAGTTCTGTCCTGACTGCAGGGCTAGAAGACAACATTTCTCTGTATGACAAAGAAAACAAGGAGAGACCTAGTGTGTGTGTGTGTGTGTGTGTGTGTGTGTGTGTGTGTGTGTGTGTATGTGTGGGTGCTCTCGCTGAGGGTGGTGTGCAATGCTGGTGTGACTGATTTGGCCACGTCTCCCTGAGCTGTCCAGACGTCTTAGTAATGTGACGGCATGGGAAGAGGCAGGTGACACATTCAGGACAAGTCCCAGGTAAACAACCCACGCTTGGTCAGGTATTTCATTACAATCACTCATGTCCACTGGGCTAGATAATGTGTTATAGTCACTACTATGTGTGCATACGAGTGTTTGTCTGAGTGTGAAAGGAAGAGGCACAGAAGGAGAGAGAAAACACAGTCGCTATTCACGACAGAAGGCACCTTCATCTCAGTAAATGAGCTAAATGAAACCCAGCAGTGGAGTCAGATGATAATGTTGTTAAGGAACGGGGAAGTGCAATGAGTTTTCTTGCTTACTGCAAGAGGCTGATCTAATAATTTTAGTGCCGGAACAACAGTGTTGCTCGGCTCAGCTGGGACTTCAAACAGCGGCATTTAAAAACAGAGGCGAAGAACAAAAGGAGGACAAAAGTAAGGAGGATGAACAAAAGGAGGAGAGGAGTGTGACTCGCCCACCCTCAACTCTCTGCAGAGAGGAAGTAAAAATAACACACACACACACAAACATTCACACAGGAGGAATAATCCCCGGGCAACTTGGACATATTTAATCTGTCTCTTGTTTTCAAGAGGGATTAATTTCTACCTCCTAATCTGCTCAGTGTCCCTAAATCAAATCTCATCGGTGCACTTTTCCCTGTGCGGCCCATCTCAGAAAATCTCCTGCCTGGCTGTCTGACAGCGTGAATCTACCTAAACCTACCTCTGCGGCTTAACTACAATCAGACTGAAGCCTCGGCAATAGACCACACGAAAGCAAACACCGGGGCTGGATCCAGGTGGGCTTGTGAAGGATGAGCTGCTGTAGCACTTTTAATTTGGACTGAAGCCGTCAGTGCTTCATATTTTGTACCATCTGCGCACATAAACCTAACCATAACAAAAAGACTTGAATTTACTTTTTAAAATTAAGTTTCTCTTAGTCGCCTTTTCTTGGTAAGAAATGAAAGAAGCCCTGAAGCAGCATTTAGACCATTGTATGTATGTGTATAACCCTCCATTAATAATCCATGCTAATGAGGTTCTTTCAGCTGGATCACCAGCAGTGAGACAGGTTTTGTGGCAGTTTTAATAATCCACCGGCCCTGAAGATGGTTACATAACATGTTATTGTCACCTCTATCACATCAGCAGTGGGCTACACTGCCTGACTGATACCTGCTTTTTATAGAGTGGCAAATATCAGCTTGATAAGAGTGCAATCCTCTATTAGTCAGCCATTGTAGATACAAAACAAAGGAGCTGTTTATGTTTGTGCGTGCTGAATTATTAACCAACATATCTTCCTGGTCAGATACAAAGGCTCATTTGCAAAAACATAAATACATTTTCAATATATGTAACATGGTTGAGGACTCACCCTGAAGTAATCGCTGCATGCTGCCAGGACAGCTTTGTGGGCGTGGAACTTCTGCTCACCGGCCACTAGGGTGACGTCACACAGCAGGCCGTCCTTCCTCTGCTGGTTGAGAGCGGAGAGGACCAAGTCCTGGTGGGACTTTGACTGGCAGAGCCTCTGTCCTGTCAGCATCTCCCTACTGCTACACACACATACACACATGGAGGACGTGTAATTGAAGTGGAGTTGGATTTGTAGATGAGACAAGGCTGTATTATAATGTTAATCACACACTAATAAGAATAGCCAATCTACGACTTGTACTAGTACTCCCATGACTAATCTCACTGCTACTAGTATTGCTATAACACTCCTGCTGCTGTTATAACTCCAACTGCAATCTAACACAGACTGAGGATTGGACATTTCCAAATTACACTGTGATTGCAGTTGCAGTGAACGTGGACATTCAAGAATTCTTTCACTTTTTTGACAGCTAGATTGTTTTGACAGCACAATGGGAAGACACTATATTTTTAGCCATGCTATTGGCACAGCTCTATTGACGGCATCTTTGGTTGGCTGGTTCACCACTTTGGCCCAGACTGAAATTACCTCAGCAACTATTGGATGAATTGCAATGAAATAACCATGGTGTCTGTAGCAACACCAGTAGGTAAAAGTTCACTTATCAAATTTATTCCAGACATTCATGGTACCGAGGGGATCAGTTCTAAGGACATTGGTCCTCATTTGCCTTTTCATCTGGCACCACCATGGGGCTGATATTTTTTGGTTTTGATCTTGATAACTGATGGACGGATTGTCATGAAATCTGCTACAGACATTCATGTACCCCAAAGATGAATTATAATCACTTTGGTGATACCTTAACTGTCATCTAGTGGCATCATCAGGTCTACTTTTTAATTCGTCCAAATACCTGCAAAATTAATACCTACCAGTCCTAATTAACAAAAGTTAGCCTAAAAACATGCATAATAACATAATAAGCATATCTGCTAAACATTAGCATGTTAGCTTTGTCACTGTGAGCATGTTTCCATGCTAGCGTTAGCATTTAGCTCAAAGCTCCACTGTGCCTAAGTACACACAGGACTGCTAGCTGTATACTTAGTCTTGTTAACACTTTAGCTGTAACATTTTTAAGAAAAAGCAATGATTTTGAAAATGACAAAAAAGACCAAAAAAGTGAGAGTGTAATCTAGAAATACATTCAATATATTTCATGTTCATAACTGTTTTCCCTGTACTAACAGTCTGTGAAAGTTGTACATGGTGCTAGCATCACATGGGGAGAACAGTAGGTGGTAAAATTTTCTGTTTCTATGTACAAGAAGTAGAACTAAAAAAAAAGGAAATTATTATTATTATTTTTCTTTCTTTTTCATATTTGAAATTGCATCAAGAATGAAATGAAATGCAGTGTAGACCAGTGACACTTTACTAATCACACAAAAGGCTTTGCTATGAATGACATTTCCATTATGCCCCTGCACTTACAAAGAATACTTTCTGTCCGTCAGTTTGTGTTTCACAGTGAGATTCTTTACAGCGGCTGAGACAAATACACAGACTACAGAACCTGTCTGACTGACTGATGGGCTGACTGACTTACTGACTGACTGTATGCTGTGGACCCATGTAGCAGCAAATGCACCCTATTTTCCAACCCATCCGCAGTCCCTCTCTGCTTGTACCCATCCATCAGCAGCACGCCGCCCTGTCCGTCCGAATCCATCTCTGTCCACTTACAGTCCCAGCCGTCACTCTAAATGCAGCTGTCTGCCAGGAGGCTTGCTCTGTCACCTTCATGGTGATGGGGTGTAAGACAGAGGAAATAATGTGTGTGTGTTGGTGTGTGTGCTTGTGTGTGTGTGTGTGTGTGTGTGTGTGTGTGTGTGTGTGGGCCTGTGTGTGTGTGTGTGTGTGTGTGTGTGTGCGCTATGGGCCAGCAGTAGGATGAATGATGAGTCAGGCTGTTTGTTTGATAGTTGGACTCTGCTGAAGGGAGAGCCATGGGAGAAAAGGACAAAATTGCCTGCTGGATGAGATGGAGGGGAAAAGGACAGAGACAGAGTGGAGGAGGGATGGAAGCCCATTATGCCCTTGATGATGAGGATGAAGATGATGAATATATGAAAATATAAAGATGGAAATATTATCTTGATCAGTTTGAAGCTGAAGACTATGATGAGCTGTACATCAGTGATGTAGTCATTCATTTTCATAAAACTGGTTGATTCACAAGGGGCAGTTTTTTGGTCAAAATTGAAGCAGCAGAGACTGACATATCCTGATTTTATGTCACGAGGATGAGTCGAAGGAATACACTGGAGCCTACATTTCCCATAATGCAACTAATAGCATCTTTTGCCCATGTCTTTCAGACTTCATGTCACCTGTTTGTACAACAAGCAACCAGTGTCTAAACTCAGACCAAGATGACATCATTGTGTGCTAGTTTTCTCAAACTTGACAAAGGTCCTCAAGAGCCACAGAAAATACAGTATTATGTAACTATTTTCATGGGAGGGATAGTACTCCCTGTGACTAGTTAGGTGACCTTGACATGTAAAAGTTCAGCTTTGTAATCACTATGTTAGATGAGCATCTTTCAGTAGTGTACACTATTGTCAGCGACGGTGTCCTACCAGTGTGGGCAGGACACCAAAGTCAGAAATTTCTAAAATCCTGCACATAGCGACTCACAAAACGTATTGCTCCATTTGTGTATTATAACCTCTTGTATTATAAAGACAAAATGGCTGAAGCTCTTGTCCATCGAAAATCACCACCACCTGCTCCCGGCAAGAAACCACGTTCAGAGGCCGAGAAAACTTACAAACAACCCCTTTAATTAGATAAAAGATGGATTCTATTCTATTGATAGCCAGACCGATTTTAAATCAGTCTGGCAATATTCTACATTTTTCTTATTGTTAACAAAACCCAAGTGAATACCAAAACCAACCATAAATAGAATCGATTTGACTAACAAGTATTGACTGTGTAGCCAAAGCCTGATATTCCTCTGTGCGATAGAACTCCACTGTTGTCAAAAAACAACTTAAAACACAGAAATGAGCCACGCAGTTGCACTTGTGACGTGTTCCTTCATCGGAAAGGATAGTGGATAGTGTAGCTTATTTAGAGTTAGCCACATATGCCATCCTGCTGCTGTAAATACTCACCAACACATCAAATCCACAGCTGAAGATAATCCCCAACAAATACACAATTTACTCTTGTCTGAGTAAAGTTTGTTTTAGGAAATAATTCAACCTTAAAAAATGACAGTAATTATTTGTGACCCATTTTTAAAGGTTTGTGTTGGTAGGAAGTATGTTCAGCTGAAATGAATGAGCTTGAGAATGAGGGCCACAGTCAAGATGTTCTGACAATTTTTGAGAAAATACATTGTTGTTGAAAACAAAAATATAGAATATAGAACCTTGTCCTTTAGATAGGTTTACCCTTTTCTAACCTTCACATCCAAACAAAAATATTGGTCTGTTTATAGAGAAAGCTAGCGCGCCTCCACACTCGAACACCTGTATTGAACACTGTATTGATCTTACATGGATCTTCCTCAGTTTAAAATGAAGAATAGTGCACTCAGTCCCAGAAGCAAGTGGCTGTTCATCTATATTTGCTGAAATAGTATATTGTCGTGCGCGTAAGGATTTTTTCTGTTTGTGCCATGAGCCTCAAGCACCTATGCTGTTATTTCTGACTATTCTTATGGCTGCTCTTTCAAGGCCTTTTCATGTAAAGCGCAGGCACTGTGACAGCCACAGGCAGCCAGACTTCAGAGAAGAAAATAACCAGCTCAGCACTTCTCAAAACAAGCTGGGAGTCCAAATTACACCAAGTCCTTCTGGTGTAGCTACAACCTTGACATAATGTGCTACACACCTGAATCTGATATCCCTCAGTCTCCTGCGAGAAAATACCCAGCAGCACTAGAGGGAAACAGAGGTCGGCACAGACGCACTGAAATCCAAGCTGCTCAGGATACTCTGATTGAAACACTACTCACTCAATGTACAGTAAGCCACCCCAGGTCCACTCATGTGGCTATTTTATAGAAGGGAGCTTATGTATGTATGAGGATCGCCTTGAGTGGAGGCAGAGCTGAGTGTACTACTGGCTGCTCTTGAGTGTAGTCCGCAGCAGGATCTAGGTATTGATCCATTCATGAGTGACCTTCAGACGCATGGCCACAAGCAACTGCAACTGATTGATGAGGCAGAGAAGGTGCTTATCCTGTAGTCGTGAGTCCAACCCCAGCACAGGCCAACAAATGCTACGCACATTTCATACCTTTATCTAAATAAGCCTTTGATGGTGTGGTTCTAAGAATGAAGGAATAATAAAGGAAATGTACTCAAAACATATTTGAAAACCACATCAGGGATGCAAATTATGACTAATAGTCCCTCTCTGGAGTTAAAACACACACACACACACACACACACACACACACACACACACACACACACACACACAGACCTAGAAATATTTATAGATACATATAACTTCTATTTGAGATACATCGGGTTCTCATCATTTTTCCTCAGAAAAGATTAAACACAGACTATCCGGAAGGTGGATATATTTAGGATCTGATAATCACAACAAGTGGGCCATTGTTCCCTGCAAACCACTGTAATCTCCTGACTGAAAACAACCACAGAGGTAAATGTTGTCTTTTACGCACAAGAGACAATTAGGATTTACGCACGAACAGCGCGCGGGGGACCGAACTGGGGAAGAAAGAGGAAGGTTTGGGTTGCCAGATAAGCAGACACCATTAGTGCATTAACTGTCACGGTCCAAAAGCTCCCAGCTGTCAAAAGGTCTCCTAGCAACAGGCCAGCGCCTCGGTCCACAAACTATGGGGACGGAGAACAGAATAACCTTCCCTCGTACGAGCAGAATAATCCTGTTGCATTCATCACGGAGCGCGCTCCGACGATCCACACCAAATTCCTTTTAGAGCACATTTCGGCTTTGCAGGAATTTACTGTATTCAGCTCCCTCTTATCTTAATGTGCCACAGGCTTACGCACCTCATATGAATGTGTTATGAGTCAGTCCCGTCCCCTTTGGCGTCTCCTCCGTTACAAATGTCATTTGATGTCCGAGGTTGGTCTCTTCTGCATCCGCGGCGAGAGAAAGGAAGAGCGCAGCGGCGAGCAGATGCGCTCACTTCTCACGGACACTTTATTGCTTACACTGTAGCACCTAAATTGTTACATTATAACCCCGCCTCTCTACGGCGGTCACATGAATAATATGGACACAGAGGGGATACAGCGCCTCCAGGTGGATAATTGGAAATTGCAACTTCTGTGAAAGTCTGTATGATTACTACATAGAGTAAGACAGGCGCCTATAGGGACACAAGGGGTCCTCTTAGGATTTCCAGGGGGTGCACAACATGAGGAATAGTCTGCCTTCTTAATTACTTACCCTGTGGACAGTTTTATACTCAACTGTGTTATTATCATAGCCTACATGTACATTAGGGTTTTTATATTTTTCTGGATACTTCAGTACTCTATCAATAAGATTAATCTGTGACTAATAGTATGTAATTTCATAAAATTTACTGAATATTCTGTGGTATTTCTTAGATATTCCCTAAAGGCACTGCTGTGTTTTAGTCCTTTAGAATAATTTGATAAATACCGCTGAATGAAAGTCACACCATCTAGCGGTATGTAGGAAAACTACACCTGGATCCTCGCTCACTTATCTCTTCATCTTTCCACGAAAAAGCAATAGCACCTCCTCTTGATATGGATGTAAAAAAGTTTAACCAAAAAAAGCTAATATTGTCTAAATGAACATTCAAATTCCCTTTCTTAAGTAAACCTGGAAAACAGTCTAATGCCACATATTTTAGATAGAGAAATTAAATCCATAGCTCTGCTTTTTACCGTCGGACTGGGATTGTCCCATCATTGATCTGCCAGCTGCACACATGCTGCGTTCAAGTGCTCCCCGTCAATTCTTACGTTCAGGGCATCCTACTGTTGAATTCAACTGTTTTTAGTCTATCAAGTGACAAACTTGACTTAGAACTGGCTATCATCTGTACAGTGGCTATAGTTTATACTAGGTAGATGAAACTTGAAAATATTCAGTTCGATTAGAACATTTGCATATTTGCAAATAGCCTACGCTTTCTATATGTGATATCCTCTAATTATTGGTTTAATAATTTAATGCAACACACTTATATTTAGGTCTGTCTCTCTGTTGTTGGCAAATAGTTTCTATGCCGAAAATACACAGGAGAAAAGAGCGATGAAAACACATATTATTTCAACATTAATCTGTTTACATCGGTTCATATGCGTTTGTGATGAAATTGTCACATTTCCAACTGCACGTGAAGGCAGCTTCAGTTCAGAGCAGCCAGACAAGAAAAGACAGAGGGACCGTGCTGGAGCTTATCGCAGGAAACACACTACCAAATTCCCCACAGATTTGTTCGGACGAGTGTCCATGTAGTCAGCTGTTATATGAACTCCTGGGCAGTTGAGGGTAAGTGTTTGTGGATGGTTTTTTTTTTACCCTTCATAGTTTTCTAACTTTGTTGTTGCCACCGAAGTTGTTTCGGGCCCCCGTCCCATGGCAGCGACCGAGGCAGGGATGTTTACTGTACTCTCTCCCGGCAGTTGGTGTCCAATTTACGGGAAAACGACTTTCCTGCTCGCGGTAAACTGACATATTCTTAAAATGAATTACTTTTATTGATATATAAGGAATAAAGTTGTGAAATTAAGTTTTCAGTTATTGTTTTACTAACCTGCACATGTCTGCTTGTTAAACTAAAGTGTTGTTGGTTGGTACGTGTCAAATTTTTGCTTCGCTAAATTTAGTCTTTTTAATCATTGCTGCCGTGCTAACCGAAAAGTTTTTGCTACTAGCCAAGCACAATGTGCTTACCCTGCTTACCCTAGTAGTAGTCTGCACTATGAAGATTGTTGAAGGTGGTTACTTTACATATAAACAGGGAAATACTAAGTGAACTCTTACCACCAATGATATCAGCATGTAATCATCAGCAACTATATAAACAACTTATCTAGTCATTATTATAAGACCATATCTTTATGTAAATAACTTCAAATACTACTTGATATAATACACATGTACACGTGTCAGTAAACAGAATATAACCAGAACTGACTCAAATTAATTCTATTTGGACCCCTACACAAAGCTAAACCTACAGATGCTTTTGTATTTACTGGGAAAGTATTACACCCTGTGAGGCTTTAAGATTCTTAGTTGAATATACAAGTGAGTATGTGAAGCTGTGACACTTTTATGTGAAGCCTAATGTGCATCAACAAGCTGAGACTCATTCTACTGAATCAGCCTGGATCTCTAGCATTCCCCACCCCATGTAAATGCATGCCCTTTAAGTTTGCACGAGGATTGAATGGATTTTGGTCTCTGAATTCCACCTGCCTGATGCGTCTCTAAACAGCACTTCCCAAACTGGAGCCCGGGGACTTCAAGGAACCTGTAGAGGTGAACAGAAAAAAATGAGTAGTTAAATTTCATTCTTTAGGTGATAGTGCAATTAGAGGCTGCATGGTAGACTGTTTTGATGATAGGGCTACAGTCTGTCTCCTCTCTGCAATTCTGTGGTAAATGCAGTAATAACCAGCTACAAAAATCTTCTCAGATGGGGTTCCTGAAGACACATTTTCATGAAATGCAGGTTGTGGTCTAAAACAAACCTCTTTGTCCTTGTTTTGCTGAAAGTTTAAATTCAGTTCAGTAAAATTACTTTCATTTCAGGGATGTGGGATTCCTATCTGTGACCCAAAGGCACATGCTGACCAACCAGGGGGCTGATGGGAAAGCTTTACCTGCTTCAACGCCCACGGGCTCCACTGAGATGTCCCCAGGAGGAGTGAAATGTGGATGACAGCGTGAGCTGGGGAATTCAACGTTTGGGCCAAGATATCCTCACACTGAGCCAAAAAGAAATCTGTTCGAGTTTACACAAAAAAACATACACTCACATACTCGCTCCCAATCAGCCATCACCATGCTGATGCCAGGACCACTGTGGGTGTGTCTGGCACTGATATGGGTTGGAAGCTGCAGTTCCCACAGCCTGTTTACCTGTGAGCCGATTAAGGTGCATCGGTGCTTGGGGATGTCCTACAACATGACCTTCTTTCCCAACATGATGGAGCACTATGATCAGGATATTGCAACCAGTAATATGGAGGTGAGTACTCATAACATTACATATATCAGTTTGTTGATATACCAATATTTGACTTGTTGGGCATTAGCTAATCAATCTTGTTGACTGCCACTAAAATTAGTTTTTTCCTAAAATCAGATTCATCAGACAGTCTGTATAATATGCTGTGACATTTGATCTTTAATGCACATTTTTTTTATTGTTCAGTTAAGATTTATCTTTCAGTTCTTAATTTAAAGTCCCAATTTATTACGGATTTAATCCTGCCTTTTAATTTTGGTATTGGGTGGGCCAGTCAATACAAACCCATGTTGTGGGTGTGAACAGAATTGGCCAAAAACAAAACATTGTTCAGACCCACAGAACTTTATCCTAAACTCCAGGGGATATCAGCTCCAAGAACATAAGTCAGACTGAATTTGGGTGAAATGTTGAACACATTGATACAGAATATATCTGTGACATTTGGAACAGGTGGTATTCACAACCTTGAATCTCTTAAGGGGGAACTTTACATTAAGGGATTTAACAGCTGCTGACCCATGTTAAAGAATCTCATTAGTCTGGGTTTCCATTATGAGTTGTAATTATTATCAGCCTTTGATTAAGGAAAAAAAAGCTTCCTCTGCTTGTAAATAAAAATTATAATTCAACTCACATTTAAAGATAATGAATATCATCTCAAAATGATTGCCATTATTACTACTATCATTTCAGCAGCATTCATGGCTCCAGTCCATAAATGTCAGTGTCTGCCAGCACTCAGAAGTGCATATTGATTGAACTGTAATTACCATTTTGTAATGGTCATCAACAGGCAGACACAAATTACCAGCCACAGTTTGTCCACAAATCAAGCCTGATTGTTATAGAGCACTATCTAGTGAATAAACAGTTGAAATTGTATTGTTGTGTGCATGATAACCATGAATCTGTATGCCTGGTTTGAATTCTCAGCTCTCATACATAATGGATTTTAAAAACATTGCTAGATTGGAATTAAGAGGGGAATTACTGTACGGAAAAGGGAATGTCTTGACATAAAGTTTCCTTAAACAGGAAGAATAGATTAAGAAAGAATGACGTTATTTGTGGCAGCAACCTACTGTACAAGGCAGGAGTTACAGAGGAGGGGTTACAGTAGGCAGCTGTCATGGGAAACCCACAGTAAAGTTAAACACTGTTTCCACAAATATGTCCAAAAAAGATTTATTTAAATGAAAAAAATGTGCACTAAAGCTGCAGTATCATTGTAATTGCTATTATCTTACACAAAAATCGAGGAGAATTCAAAATTGTGTTTTGTTTTCATGTTAATCATCATTTCTCCGTGTAAAAGTTGTGCCTAATGCAACTTAGTCAAATATTAGTAGTGTTTGAGTTGTCTGTCACAAAACACATTCTCTGTGTTGTCTTATTCCTAATACCTAATACTTAGCTTTATGATGGCTACCAACATGTTTTTATCCAATACGTCTGTAGACCCAGTGTTGCCTTGTGTCTCTCCTCAGAAGTGAACTGTGTCTCAGTCGTAGTTACATCCTGTGTCTTAGCATTCCTCAAGGCCAGGGTTTGGGTTACACATGTTTGGTGTTAGAGCACTGAGCATGAACAGTGATCTGTTGAAGGAATCTTTTGTGTGGCATCTGGCAAAGGTATAGGCTTCTTATTTCACAGTCACCATGCCACGGGCAACTTCATCGACTTTGTTGTGAGAGGCCTTTGATTTCTGGAGGAAGGGGAGGGACACACCCAGTCCTACACAAAGCTGCATACCACAATGAGTATTCTCTCTGTTAATCACTCACTCATTTCCCCCCTGTACACAAGCTTACCTCCACAGTCCTGTCTCTCAGGTGACGGGCTTACACTCTATGGCCTACATTCAGCATTACATATTACACATAGCTCTCTCTCTCTCTCTGAAAGTGTGCAGTGATTTATCACAAAGCCCAGATGCTGTAATCAAGCAGGCTTGTGCTTCGTACTGGGCTCAGTCCAGCCTATCAGTAGGATTTTCCGGAGGAGGGTTAACCTTTTCCGCCCTTGATCCCAGATTCCACTGCTGTTTGCCAGCTTTTAAATCAGAAAAGTTTGAAGTGTTAGAATACAAAGAGAACAGAAAGGCTAATTGACGTAAGAGACAGGGCACACTTGAGGCTCTTAAAAAATCTGAGCTAGAGTTTTAAAAGTGAGACTTTAGCCATTTTTTTGAATCAGTTAATCCTTGAAGTACTTTGCTATGAAATTCTCTGCAGAGGATTTTCCCTTTAAGACCAAATCAACTCGACTTGTACTGCTGGCCCTGGTTGAAGCTTTCTGAAACGAGGGCAGTTTTTACAGTAACTCTGCTGTAAAGCAAATAAAGGTCAGATTGTTGAGCAATGGGGAGCTCACTGACAAGGAGTCCAGGACCTCCACAGGAGAGAAACAAGGACACTTACTGTCAGAGGGGGCAAGCCCAGGGCCCAGAGACATGGGCCTACTGCCAGACTGGATTTCAGGGGAAAAAAAGAGAGGAAACATTGAATAGTGGACTGTGTGGACTAGAGTGTATGTGTGTGTTTTGTGTCCAAATATTGGCAGCATAGACTGACATGAGTCTGTCTGCAGATGAAGGTGTGATGATGGTTGATGAGGTCCAAACCATGAGTCCCCACAACTCTAAAATGTCCACATGATTTAAGCAGTGTGAACACAGAATCCTGGCTGATATAGCTGGTTAACAGGCAATAATAATAGAGAAACCTCTGCTAGTCTACACAGTGTACAGTTACTTGAAATCCAAGGTTACAGAAACAACAGCACAGACATGATTTGGACTTGTTTAACTGGAATCAAGTCTTCCGGGTAAGCTGTGTATCCCACTGATAATCCACACACCCCGCAGACACACTAATACTGTGGCTCCTCAGCAGCCTAACCTATCAACAGCTGTGTGCATTCCAGCCTTCCTGGCCTGTTGTGTGTTTCCCAACGTCCATACACTCATTTCCTGCCACCTACACTGCACCCCCTTCTCCTTCCCCTCTCACAAGCTCCTGACCACTGTGTTGAAACGGAAGAACATGGTTCCCAGCCAGTGAATGGGCTCCTTTGTGTGGCGCTATAGAGCAATGCAGCTCAACAAAATGAAGTTAATACTTTATGTAGAGCAGTGGTTCCCAATGTTTTTGACTTTTAACTCCTTAAAATAAAGCAACGTTAACTTGACAAATCATCACCAGTTTATATGTCTATTGACCAGGGACCGTGTCAACCAAAGTATGATTCATTTTTTTTTCTGTTTTAACCTTTTTATGTCACAAAGATTGTGATGTGTGATATGCTTCTTTTTGAAAAGTGAAAAGTGTTCAAACTCACAAACTTTAAATATATTGAACAAGTTAATGTATTTTCAGATTAACCTCAGATGTGGATCATAAGCTCTCATTTTCAGTGTTACATAACTTTTCTCTGGATCCCCAGCCATTCATGCCCCTGGCAAACCTGCGCTGCTCTCCAGACGTCCACCACTTCCTTTGCCAAGCCTTTATCCCAGCATGCAGTGAGGAGGATAAGGTGATCCGTCCGTGCCGAGAGCAGTGTGAGACTGTTCTGTCCGACTGCGAAGAGAATATTCGAATCTTTGGCATCACCTGGCCCCCTGAGCTACAGTGTGACAAGTAAGCCTCAATTACACACAATCCACAAGAGCAAAACTAATCATCCCTGATCAATTCATTATCCTGTTACTGTTTTTATCCTCTAGATTGGACCCATGTAGCTCCCCTGATGGTTCAGTGCTTCCTGCAACCACGCCAGCGATCTCCTCCTCAGCAAAGAGGGACCTGGGCTTCTGGTGCCCTCTGCAGTTAAAGACCAAGCCTGGCCATGGATCATCATTCCTGGGCGCCCAGGATTGCGCTCCGCCTTGCTCCAACATGTACTTCAAACCCCATGACATTGACTTTGCCAAGAGCTTCATTGGTGTGTGCTCTATCATCTGCCTGGGCGCCACACTCTTCACTTTCCTCACTTTCCTCATCGATGTCAAACGTTTCCGCTACCCTGAGCGCCCCATCATCTTCTACGCCGTCTGTTACAGCTTTGTCTCGCTCATATATTTCATCGGGTTCCTGCTGGGGAACAATGCAGCCTGTACCAAGGCGACACATCCTGCAGGTGTTGATACAGTCGTGCTCGGCTCTCAAAGCAAAGGGTGCACTTTGCTTTTCATGCTCCTCTACTTCTTCTCCATCGCCGGTATTGTCTGGTGGGTCATACTCACCATCACCTGGTTCTTGGCAGCTGGACCCAAATGGAGCTGTGAGGCGATAGAGAAGAAAGCGGTAAGCTTTTTAAGAGTATATGGTCATGTGTTAGTAGCAAATACCAAGAAAATACAGAGAGGAAGTGTAGAAATAAAAATATAAAATGAGCAAAAACAGGCTATTAACAACCAGGAGGATGGTGCACACTCCAAAACATTGTTCTTTGTTCTCCGTCTGCAGGTGTGGTTCCACTCTGCTGCTTGGGGGATCCCGGGGACGCTCACTGTCATGCTGCTTGCTCTGAACAAGGTTGAAGGGGACAACATCAGTGGGGTTTGTTTCGTGGGACTCTATGACCTGGACGCCCTGCGCTACTTTGTTCTGGCTCCGCTGTGTGTGGGCGTCATAGTCGGCCTCTTCCTCATCCTGGCAGGCATCGTTTCTCTCAACCATGTCCGGCAGGTCATTCAACACGACGAGCGTAACCAGGAGAAGCTGAAGAAATTCATGATCCGCATCGGTGTGTTCAGCTGCCTCTACCTGGTCCCGCTGGTCACCTTGTTAGCCTGCTACACCTACGAACAGAGCCACCGCAGCACCTGGGAGAATACCTGGATCAACGACCGCTGTCAGGAGTACAGCATCCCCTGTTCCTACAAGGTAGACAGTCAAAGACAGATTAGAAGAGGCTTTCCAACTCACTACATTCGTTTCCTTGGTTGATGCGATTGATTGAACATCTGTGGTTTGTTATGGACTAGATGAGAGCAGAAGGCACTTGTGCTGGTATGTGAAAAACAAGGGCAAAGTCAAAGCACGTTGTAAACTTGCAAAAACTGATCAAGGATGAAAAGACCGTATAAATAAGGTTGGATACTAAAAAATGAAACTACAATCAGTAGTTGAAAAATGTTCTGTCTGTGTTTTGTCAATAATATTAACACACTTACCTTTGTTGAAAGGTCACTGGACCCTGGTGAACCCAAACATATCCATTACCAAAAAGCTAAGAGCGCAGTTTCCCACACACTCTTAATTACTTTAAAAATAAACTCACATTCCAGTGTGGCCAATCCCTGAATGGGCTGCTACATGTGTTGAAAGTTTTATGTCCAATGTGAAATTTGAAGTAACTAAATATAAATATTTAGGCAGATGTTTTAAGAAAGGCCTGACGGTCAATGTCACTTTGCATGGGATTTAACTAACAGAGCTAAAACAGACCAAGTACATAAAACTCACAGCAGGGGAACTAACACAAAAATGACAGTATATTGCATTTCTGTATAATTTGATAAATAAAAATGGCTGTTCATTTAGAAATCCAAAAACATAAAATGGACAGTGTAAAAAATTTCAAATGTTAAATGTCAGTCTCTGAGCCGAAAAGTTCAGAAAGCTTGGTTTTGTCTGAAGTAAAGAAAATTGAATTTGTTAATTTACACACTTGCTTAAAATCACAAGGATTTTGTTTCCATCTGAGTTTGTCTCTTTGTTTCAGACAACGGAGCACGACCGTCCTGACCTCTCTCTGTTTTTGGTGAAATACTTGATGACACTGGTGGTTGGAATATCGGCAGTGTTTTGGGTCAGCAGCAAGAAAACATGCTCTGAGTGGGCTTACTTCTTCAACAGGACCCGCAAGAGAGAGTAAGACCCCTTCAAATCCATGTTTCCATGAGATATAAATATGTAGTTCCACTGAAAATTTCATGTTCTGTAATCGACAGTCCCATCAGCGAGAGCCGCCGGGTGCTCCAGGAGTCCTGTGAGTTCTTCCTCAAGCACAACAGCCGCGTCCAGCACAAGAAAAAGCACTACAAGCCCAGCTCCCACAAGCTGAAGGTCATCTCCAAGTCCATGGGCACGAGCACAGGCGCTGCTCCCACCAATCCCTCCACAGCAGCCAATACCAACAGTCAAGGAACCTCTGCAGTGGGCAATCACGAGCCCCATGTGCAAGGTTCTCTGTCCGAGACCTCAGCCAGGGAGCACATGGACAGGGGCACCTCCAGCCGAAGCTCCAGGAGGGGGGAGAGGGACAGAGAGAGGGAGCGGGAGGGGGGAGAGAGACGCAGCAAAGGTGGAAGCTCCAGTAAGGTCAGCAGCCGTTCAGAGAGCATGCACAGGGTCCCAGATGGCAGGTAAGTGAGACAGATCTGAGATAACTGTGATAGAACTGTTGAAAGTTTTACCTTTTCTGTACTTTTATGTTTCTTAGAAACACAGACGTAACACTTTTACTATTTTTAGTATTTTTTTTCCTTACATGATAGATATTTCTGTTGCATCTCAGCTCTGTTTAGGTTGTTTGTTCATCTTTATGGTGAAAATGTGAACTGAAGCTACATCTGTATAAGCAATAACCACCAATAACCTCGAATGTGTCCTGGCCGGTTTAGGATGACCCCGAGGAGCGAGCTGTCAGAGGCCAGGCAGGTTCCCAGTGGACAGCAGCATCCAGCTTTAAACCTATCACACAGCAGCAGCTTCATCCAAGACTCCACCCACCAGCTGGTGCACCAGGTGCATGAGGAGAGCAAGGACACAAAGGACAGCAGCTGCTGAGACATCTGACCCTGAAGTTTATCTGTTGTTCCATCCATCCATCCATCCATCCATCCATCCATCCATCCATCCATCCATCCATCCATCCATCTATCCACCCATCCATCCATGATACCACTGAGAAAACAGTCACTTGATGATGGTTGATGTAACCATTTATTTGTCTTGTCATACATCATGTAAGATCCATACATCAGATTATGATTGTATTGGTTGCTTTATGGTCAGTGAATGTCCGTTGCCAACAAAATGTAACAAACCTTGAGTATTTCAAATGTGATATGTTGGACCAGAATCTGAGTGTAAGTGTAAAGGCGTTAGATGATTTAGTTTGGGTGACAGCTTTGTTTTTCAGCTTTACTGAACTTTTAGCCGTACACCTGAATGTTGCAGAGCAGTGCAGCTCTATCCCAACTATACAACTGCCAGTTAAATTTTATAGCATGCATAAAGTCTGCTGTTGTGTAGATTGGTAATTCAGAGGTATTAAATGCATACTAGTGAACAAAAGCAATATTAATGTAAATATTCTGTTTTTTAGAAAGTCTTTCACTGGACGAGTCGCTACACTGAGAGTTGTGTTAGAAAGGTCATGATATTGCCAAACATTCAACATCTTCCTGTGTTTTTTGAATGTCTTATTGTTCTTGCTGGAAAGATGGTTTGTCTTAAAACCTCATTTTGTAATACACACTGTGCTACTTTTTTTCTCCTTTGAAAAAAGGCATACTCTTAAACTTGATATAGTTGATTTTTTTAGTTTTCTTAAAAGATGTGCTTTTATTTTGTGTTTTTTTTACTTGTTTCTGTTGTGTAAACACTGATTCTGCAGAGGTTGGTCCCTGTAAGGATTTTCAAACATGCGTCCTGTGACTTTGGATAAAGTATAGCTTTATAGTTTTCTAAAAGAACGTGCCTTCCTTTGAGTAGCTCCTCATCTTCAAAGAACCTACAGATGTTCTGCATGTGTGATGTGTCTACCTGTGTTCTTGTTGCAGGGGTAAATTCTTATGATCTTCAAGCAAATTGAGGAAATAAATCAAACAGGTTTTGCACTATTTGACATTAGAGGCACAAACCACTAATTATTAAGTATGAATAGTCATGAAGAAATAAAAAAAACAGGATTTGGGGATTGTTCAGGGCTTATTTATAACAAGGGCCACGGGCCATATATCTGTCCAAGAATTTCTAGAAGAATTTCTGTGGATTATTTGAACATCTGTCATGCTGTACTGTCTTTTAAGGGACTGATTCTTCCCTCAAGTTTCTTTACCTTTTATATTTGGGAGTCACGTGACAATACCAGTAACACTAATTTAAAGGGATTCATTGTCAGTCTATTTCTACTGTATATTCTCAGTCTGGCCTGTGGACAGGGGTCTTTGCTCATGTTGTACCAAGACTTACTGTCGCCTATGAAATGCTCTCTACAGTTCTGTGAGCTGTTTTTACTATTTTTATGTAGCCTGTCTTTTCAGTCAAGTTTTTATATCCGTACAATTTCATTTTGATAAAATACTGAATAATAAAAGATTGAATTTTTGTTTTTGTCTTTGTCAATAATTAATAGAATTTAGTAAAGATTTTACTTTATCAACACTAACAAATAAAAAACAGTAACAGAACAGTATTAACTTTTCTTTGCACACGGGCCTACACTGGTGTATGAATGTCACAGGGATGTTATGGGTTGTTTTTTCTGTTTTTTTTTTTTTCCTGAGTAGCAACTTCACTGGCTCCTTCCCTCTCGTCCTGCCCTCCTCTGGACTGAAAGTGGCTGGAGTTGGAGTCAAACTGTCTCAGATCTCTGACGGAGCTCACAGTGCTCCGCTGTCTGTTGGAAGATGTCTCCCCTCGTTGCCCGCCTGCTGCTTCTTGTCTGCCTGGCTTTACCTCTGTATGGCGTGGAAAAGGTGAGAAATAGAGGATACCGAAAGGATCCTGACGCTGACAAGGTAAGAGAGAGCAGATAAGATATAACCATGCAGCCGCTATCATCATGTCCAAAAGTTGTGGCAGTCCACAGGAGATTTATGCTTTGTGACTTTTCATAACGATAAATTTAAAAACAAAAACAAAAAAAACCCGGATTACATCAAAGTATTCTTCTTCTTAAACGACTGAATTGCCATTTAGCCGCGTTGTTGTATTTTCAATGTATCTCCATTAACATCCATGTGGCACTTGGCATGTTTTGTCCTTTAAACTCATCATGGGATTAACTTTTTCTCTTGCCACGCACTGCTGTTTGCCAGAAATATATTTAAACGACTAAATCCCCCCCAAAAGAAAAAAAAGTAACATGCTGATTCAGCCACATGATCCACTTCAATGAGTGCGGTCACCACTTGGGCAAAATGGCCTTCAAAATTACCTGGTAGATGAGAAATGCTGTTACATAGCTTTTGTATGGTCAGCTGGTTCTCTATTATTCCAGGTCTGGCTGCTCTCCAGCGGGTTGAATGGACAGGGGGAAAAAAATCCCAAACAGGAAGTTGGGGTCTGGCTCACTGTCTGTCTGCCTTTCTTTGTTATCTGTCTGCCTGGTTGACAAATTTAAAAAGATTCATGCATATTTTTGATGGTGGGTGAAAGTTGTGATTGATATTATAAGGCTGATAAATGTATTATCTTTTTATTATCTGCAATTATATTTTTTAATATTCTCAAAAATACCTAAAATTCACTGGTTCTCACCACCCCTAATCTTAGACTATTTTTGGTCACAATTACATAACCCTCTACACTGTAGGTGGGGAGTGGAGGAACAGAGTGGACACACATTCTCTCTTTAATCTCTTGGGAATCAAATGAAAGTGAAACTTGTGTTTATTTTGCTGGGACTCTGTGGACCCCCCCCTAACAACCCCCACCACACAGACTCCTAAAAGTCTACCCACCCCACACTGAGAACCACTGAGCACAAGCAGTTGCTCTTCATTATCCCCCAAAGTCATATTCTGCAGTTGGGGACCACAGTGGAAGGGTATAATGAATAGCATCTTATGTTACCATCTGTATCTAGTGCACTGGAAATGATGCAGAAAAGCCCAACTGCACTAGGCACTCTGGAGAAGGAAGATCTTCTTATTTGAACAACATGGTAATCAGAAAATCCTGCTTTGATTCCTCTTGAGATCCTCTGAATGTAAAAACTCTCGAAGCCAAGCATTATATCCACGCTCTGCATGCTCGAGGAGCGCCTCGGTCCTCGCCTCAGTTTTGACTAATGCATGAAATACTACTGATTCCTCAGCACTTTGGGGCAAATACAGCTTTTATGCTTCAGTTACAGTAATGGACTGTGTGCTACTAATATTCAGCAGGGCTGGATTGTAATTCATGCAGGCAGGCGTCACCACTATAGAAACGGCGGACTGGAAGCTAATATAAAAGTCATCTGTGTGGCTAAGTGGACAGAGGTTCCATTCAGCAGTCTGCTTTCAAAGGTCTCCAAAAATCCAAACCTTATTAAAACAGAGTCATTTCCCTGTTGAATATCAACCAAGCGGACTTCATGGAGTATGTGCGACATTTCCACATTTTCCCACCTATTAGCCAAGAGGCTTGGACGTTTAGTCCCTTTTCTTTAAGGATAAATTCCAGTACTATTACAGCACTTGCATACCAATACCACAACCTACTGGGGTAATCACAGACTTCTCAGTTTCCTATAGAGATGATGTCAGACCTTACATCTTCAGGTTGCTCCAGCAAAGCCACTTGATGGATAAAACAGACTCTCAAACATCTGTTCCACAGCAGCTGATTTTAAAATACTGTAATTCTCTCCACATTTAGCCAAAACTTCAGATTCACATGCTTTGAAATAGATTTTTCTGCTTTACCCCAGAGACTCAAGACTCAGGACAAGATTTTGAGACTGGAGTAAAAGCTCTTTGTTCTCTCTTGCCTCTGGACTTTTTTTTTTTGCCTTAATGCCTTTTGGCCATGTGCCCCCTATAACTGCTCCACAGCTGCATGCTGAGCAAGAAGGGCAGCGATGACCAAACAAAAACCCAGACCCAAATGCTTTTGGCATCAGTGTTTGCTTAAGGGCTTACGTGTCAGTTTACGTCTGTCCTGACTAAACAAATGAGTTTATGACGCTCACAAATCACCACCAAAAATTAAAAACCCAAGTCCAACTAAAAAAAGCTTTAACAGTTAACCTACGCGCTGCCGTCCGTTGGTCAAATTGTTTCTTTGAAAAACACATTACACGACGCTATTTGGATCTTCATTGTGTTTTTCTCTGTATGTGGTAGGTTTTTGGCAAGCTCCCCTGTCTCTGTGTGTGTGTCTGTGTGTATTTGAGTCAGCTTGAGTAAGATGCAGCATCTGTTTAAACATAGCAAGAGATTCTGGAGGACAATGAATCACACCGAGAGACGTGTGGCCAGACATCTACCAATTTAGGCTGTCACCAAGGCTTCAGTTCCTCATTAACACACGATCTGTCTCTCACTTGCTTCATGGCTTCATGGTTGCTGGTTCAATTGCTTTGCCTGGGGTTGGATCACATCTGTTTTTAAACTCATTTCAGCCTGATGGCAGTGTGTTTGTTTATATGACTTGTAAATGAGGTATAATCTGGCTTCTTGTGTGTGATGGTTGGATGGATGGCAGCGTTTAGGTGCCTGCGGAGCATGCAGCCCCAACAGGGATTTAACCCCGAGGAAGAAAAAAGAAAATCTGAAACAAGAAGTGTGATAGCAATAGGCTGATGTTGTTTTATCAACTTTACCTCTACTTCTTCTCCTCCTTGTTTTTACAGTTTGGCAGCTGCATGCAGGGGCCATCCGGCACCCCTGGCAGAGACGGTAACCCTGGGGCCAATGGCATTCCGGGGACGCCGGGCATCCCTGGCCGTGACGGGCTCAAAGGTGAGAAAGGCGAGTGCATCAGCGAGATCTTCGAGGAGCCCTGGAGGCCTAACTACAAGCAGTGCGCCTGGAACTCTCTGAATTATGGGATCGACCTGGGGAAAGTAGCTGTGAGTATTTTGCCGCAGAGAGTGACATGTTTCTGAGGAATGTGGGTGGAGGTGTGGGTGTTATACAGCCTACACGATGCATATCAGTGGAACAGTTACTTTATGCTGGTGTTGCAGGACTGTACGTTCACCAAGCTGCGCTCAGACAGCGCCCTCAGAGTCCTCTTCAGTGGTTCCCTCAGACTGAAGTGTAAGAACGCATGCTGCCAGAGGTGGTACTTCACCTTCAACGGAGCAGAGTGTACAGGACCCCTCCCCATTGAGTCAATCATCTACTTAGACCAGGGAAGCCCAGAGCTCAACTCAACCATCAACATCCACAGAACATCCTCAGGTATGACCCGAGTCAGAGGCTTTGTTGTGCAATCAAGAAACTTGCTGCTTTACTTATTATTTTGTGTTTATTATTAAAATTGTTATAGTTTAAAGCAATAGGTCAACGTTTTGGCAGATATGCTTTTGCTTTCTTGGTGAGAGTCAGATGAGAAGCTCAATACCACACCTATCTGTACGGTTAGTAAGTTGCTAGAGCCAGCTGCGGAGCTAGGGTACAGGGATAACGACTGACGTGTTCAGACAGCATTCATTGTATTGGACCCCGAATATTAACATGAAAAGTGAAAGCACTAGTTGTGTCAAGGATGAAAATGAGAGCTGAGAAAGAAGTTCAAACCGTGGCTTTTTCTCACCTCTGCACAGCTGAACCAATCAGAGTGTAAAGTGGGCGTGAGTGTTGAATCTTCGGTTTTGTAAAGTAACAG